ACAGCTTCACGTAACAAGTTAACGACAACTGTTTTATCAGATTCATTTTGCTCACTTCTGGCTTTTTGATCAGGCTCAGTGACATTAAAGACTATTACGTTGTTTCTACGTCTTTCACGCTCTAAAATCTTAGATATGATGTCTTCCATGGAAAAACTTGAATCTGCATTTTTGGTGTTATCAGCTTTCAAATCCTTTATTTGATTACGCAAATCGATGATTAATGCCTTCAAGTCATTAATGTCTCTACCTATGCATCTGCAGTCCTTACAGGTCCAATCGTACCCCTTGCTCGAATTTAAAGTACGAACCTCATTTGCGCTGATTTCCACACAGGAATGCTTGTATTTCTGCTTACAAACACAGCACGTAACAATTTGATAAGGCTCACACTGTTGATTACAGCAGCTGCAAGGGACTCTAGCTGGCATAATTCTGAATTTTGTGTGCAAATGTTTGTTTTCTAAATCAACACAAGTACGCCACTGGAAAACTATTTCCACTTTGTTTCAATGAAAATTCCAGAAATTCCACCAGAGATTGTAAAGGTTAGCTTTCTTTTATTATCAAAAAAAACAGTGTTAAACTATTAAAGATGAACTAGAAAAACTTGCCAAATGCTCAGTAATTACGTGAGCGTAACTATGATACTCGCAAACAAATTTTCAATTGAGTCTCACTACCGATCTTAGAAGCTATAACGGAGCTAGTAAAACATGTATTGTTAGTGGTGATACTTAGATACATATCTGAATTGATGTATTTAGAAGAATTCGGCTGTCTATGACGAACAGATTGTAATAATATGTATTCAAAATGGATCAGGTTTTTAAAAATCGTCAACAGATAAGAAGGTATTATAATTGCCTGAAGAATCATCGCAATAATCATAATAACCACGGTAACGATAGCGATGACGACAACGATAATAAGATCTTCATTCCAACAGGTTTTCACCCAATCACAAAATAATTTCTCTTGTGTCTAAAGGTTCATTTTACAAACTGAATTTGTAACCCGAACGAAAAACAGAATTACAAGAAAAATGCGCAGACATGAACACTAAATAAGTAAATATCTAAAAAAACGTATGTCGCATATATTACAGTAAGTGTTAAATACATTACACATTTTTTTTTCAACAGGAGACATGTCTGAGATGTTGTACCAATTGCTCTGTAAAAAGTTGCATTGGAGCGCGTAAAGTTTGACTAATAATTCCCGACAATCAAGTTTATTATTACCCAGATTATATAACACTGTAGTGTCATTTAATTGACGGCGGTATGTACAACCGATCAAAATAGTAACCTACCATTGGTTCCTTGGTATATTTTTGTCCTCTCGTATCTTACTCACCATCATTTTGATATTAATTGAATATCAACCCCTTTTCTGTCACGTATATGCATGGCAAAATTGTCAGCAGTGAGCCTCTCGTTGAGCGTCAATTTCGGCTGTCCTTGTTGTCAACCCACCTACTACATTTGAGTAGGTGATTAGGAGTATCCTCCTCTTCATTGCAATATACGCAGTTCGCGTACGTTCTCTTTCCTACCCTCTTCAGGTAGCTGTCAAAACAACTATGTCCTGTGAGGAACTGTGCAGTATAGTCATCTATCCGCACCCCTCTATTATCAATCCAAGATCAGCCTTCTGGTCCATGCACCATAGACCGTTGCATTCCATCTCTCCTGCCATCTGACAAAAAGCGCCTCTATTTTTTCGCTTGTAGCTTCGACGCCATTTTTATAGGATGCACATCTCTCCGCAGCTTGCAAATCAATTGCCGGGATACCAGCTACCGCCAGCAGTGCATCGATCGACACCGTTCTGTAAGCGCATACCTCGCGCAGCACAACTTTTCGCTGGCTTCTCAGTATTAGCTATCTATATTCTTCCCCGAGGCATTTTTAATATATAGGGAGCTCTGTAAAGCATAATTGAGTTTACTATCCCTGCCAAATTCCTGCGCCTCTCACTACTGAAGCCTCTGATTGGCATTAGTCGTATCAAAGATGCCACGACCTTATTTACCTTGTCAGGACCAGTGTGGAGTAAGGTGGACTGAGCTCAAGCCATCGTGCCTTAACAAAAAAGGCTGTGGTGGCTATTGTCACCGGAGCGTAATTCTATAATATCTAAAGCACCCAAGAACACAAAGTAGGAATAGGACAACTTGCTTCTTTGTAGCGTGAAAATACTTCTATCGACTAGACAAATTATGCCCACTATGTGATATTATAGATTTATAATAACACAGAAGTTTTACCTGAAAATATGTGACAACTGGTTATTTCTAGATAAAGGTTACCCAATAAGAAAAGGATATCTTAAATATGAAATATATCAATTAGGTGCATATAAACTGGTTAATGATATTTCATATCATACACCGCTAGTTGTAATTTACTGTCCTCGTTTAGAATCACTTCCTTGTACTTGTCAGGAAAGATTGTTCAATGTTCTATACAGGGTGTTCATTTGAAGGCTTCCCACTACGGATTTATCGAAAGCCAATGATTAAAAGAAAAATCACAGCTTATTTGAAAGGTATTTTGAAGTCCTTTATTTTGAGGTTTGATTTTTCAAAATCGGTCAATTCGTTTTCAAGAAAATTAGAAAAATCTTTAGTTATCTTAATTTAACAGTAAAATAGAAACAAAAACACACGAAAATATCAGTTTTTATTTCAATAAGTGTTCAAAATGTTGCCCGTTATTGGCCAAACAATGATATAGGGATGTACAAATTCCTGACGGACATTTTCAGAAACATGTTGTGGGATATCATGGCAGCCTTCAGTGATGCGTTGACGAAGTTCATCCAAACTTTTAGGTTGGGGAGTAAACAAAATAGATTTCAAATGGCCTCATAGAGAAAAGTCTACTGGCGTCAAATCATGAAATCTAGCAGGCCATTCCATAGGCCCTGTTCACCCTATCCATTTATCTGGAAATTCGTCGTCTAGCCATTGCCGAACCGGAAGAACATAGTGAGGAGGAGCGCCGTCTTGCTGGAAATATATTTCAGCCTCATCAAGAATAGAGTTTCCATCCTCTTCGATTTGGTTTTCAATCGTTTCAGTGATAAGCGGATTGATGGTATTTTCCAACATATCCAAGTAAATGTCTCCATTCAAATTTCCATTAATAAACAATGGCCCAATCACTTTGTTTTCTAAAATGCCTGCCCATACATTAATTTTTTGAGGGTACTGGGTATGCCCTTCTACAAAACCATGAAGGATGTTCATTGCTCCAATACCTGAAGTTATGCTTAAATCTATAAAATGCACACTCATCACTGAAGCAGATATTGTTTACATGAATGGTATTATCATTAATCGCTGCAGTCATTTGTTCACAAAACTCAATTCATCTATCGAAATCATCTTCGGTTAACTCTTGCAAAATGTTCATTTCGAATGGATAAAATTTATGCAGTTTAGTAACTGTGTGTACAGAGCCTAATGAAATACCAGTCGCAGCAGCAATTTTGCGTAATGAAGTATTAGTATTTATTCCATAATGATCCAAAACTTCAACTTGAGCGGATTCATCCAAAACTCTCGGATTATCACATTTTTTATATGCAACAGATCCAGTTTGAGTAAATTTAGTTACAAGGTCGAAGACATACCTATGCGAAGTTATCTTCCCCGGATGTCCGGCGTGAAACGTGACAGCAGTTTGCCGAGCACATTGATTACGGGCACCATAAATTAAAATCATTTCCACTCTTTCGGCTAGTGTGTAAACCATTTTGGAAGTAAAATCTGAATCAATAAATTAATTTTCACTATCCAAAGATTGTCACAAAGGTAAATGACAGCAAATTAAATTCTTTCTTTCACTTAACAACAAATAACTAAATATGTATAACAATAAATACAGTTCGCTAAGGAAATCTATGTTGATGAAAAGAATGCGGAAATTCGGGTTGTTATTTAGTTCTTGCCAAGTCTAATCTTCCGAATTGCTGTTTATGTTGGTAGTTTCCGTTTTAAATTATAATCGAATTGTCGATTTGGCAAACATAAAAAGTGATATTTTCGTGTGTTTTTGTTTTCTATCTGAACAAATAAAGATAAATAAAAGGAATTCTAATTTTCTCAAAAACGAATCACCTGATTTAAAAAAATCAAATGTCACGATAAAGGACTTCGGAAGACCTTTCAAACAAGCTATTACTCGATACCCCTTGTCATTTAAAATTTTCAAGGGAATGACCCTGTGGACCGAGGGTGAAGTAGTTTTTGATTAAAAAGTTGTCCCCCTTGACAAATCTTTTGACGTGTCTCGAAGTTTTTTTTAATCAGTGAATTTGACTTCATTTGGATCGCATCATTATCAGTAAAGGCCATTTAGAGTCCTTCCTCGCCAGTGGCGTAGGAAGCAAAAATGAGAGTATAAAATGTTGAATTTGAATATGACCAATCCGATTTCTTGTGAAAACAATTTTATATACCTCTAAAATCGAATTCAGATTTCATAGTTTTTTCCAGGCACGTTGTGTCTTTCGGGTCGCAAAACTAGTACATACATAATGCAGCAAAGACTTATCTAAACTTAAGACTTTTTTGAAGTGTAAGCTGGTAAAATATTCTATTTACTCCCTTCTGAATATGTAAGTTCTCGACTTGAATTTCATGTGCTTAAATATGTTTTCGTATTTTTGTGTTAATAGGCTAATATTTTTCAAAAATACAATGACATTACTTACTATCATCAAACAACATATGGCTTTCCATATGTTCAAAAATTCATCGAGCCCATTACTGAAATTATGTGGTGACATCGATAGAGTTTGTGATATAACATCTGTGGGCATTGAAAAAACATTTTTTTTAAATCAATAATTTTTGTAGTCGTAGTACCTTCGCTTTTCGGTGAGAAATATAAAAAGCATGCATTAACAATAACTGCTACTACTGTTATCCTCTCCAGTATACGGTTTGGTTTGATTGGATGTTTCCTTTAAATATATTATTTTTTCAGATACATCGTTATATTCGACATGAAAGGAGTACAACTTGGTCACCTCGCACGAGTTAGCTTACCAGCCCTAAGATGCTTCATGCTATATATTCAGGTGAGTAATGATATATAGTTTTGTCATTTGGAATTTACAGGTACGTTTGTCTGGTATTGTATACCTATAACTATCACCAGAATCGACGAGCAGTGTATAGCAACTACCCTTCGGAACTGTGAAGATCCCAATCCGCAATGGTAGCGCAAAGCACCAGTGTAACCGACCAAAGTCAGCCAACCATGGACAAATGTTTTGTGCTTTTTGGGTCAGCTGTTTAGTGGTCGGAGGGTCGAAAGCAATATGTTTAGAATTTGACAACTGCTGAAGACATTACCAAATCATTAGTTTAAGGCAACTGATTGCACTCATGTTGAAAATGAGTTTATTTTTTTTTCACAGGAAGCTCATCCGTGCAGACTAAAGGCCATCCATATCCTGAACACAGCTTCTTGGATCCATCACGTTATGAGATTAGTTATACCTTTGGTGAAATCAGAGCTCCTTAATATGGTCAAGTTCCACAAAGGTACGTTGTACTTCTTTAAAAAACGCCAATAAAATATAGGTACCTTGACTGTATCGATGTATTGGTGATTTGGTCAGTTTTAAATAGTAACTACATTTTAGGGAGTTTTGACGAATAATTGCCGTAAAAGTAATCCCCTTGCATGATATAATATCAGATGAGAGCGTCCAGAAACGAACTCGCATTTTGTTATTCATTTAAAATATGAAAATAGCTAAAACTATGTTTTAAAATCGTACATTTACTTTGTAATGTTAAGTAAGCATCATTTACTATACACGTTCACAAATTGTGGGTGAAAATTAGCATTAAAATAAGCACTTTAAAACTTTACATGCCCCTTATTTGAAAAGTACTGCCGCCAAAACCGGGCCCCTTGTAAAAATCGTCAATTATCGATAAAGATTTTACTCTTAAACAAGGATACAGAATATATTTAAAACGGACACATATATTTTAATTCCTCAACGACAAAAATCGCAGACGTGCACGTCCTTTCCTGCTGCGTGCCTTTTCCCTACCCATCTTATTATTCCAAAAAACATGAATAGCTTTAGACAGATATTTGCAGATGGTACATTAATATACATATCAGATGAAAATATAGACACTGCTTTAAAAATGCTAAATTCTGACTTAGCAAAAATCATAAATTGGTAAAATGTAAATAAACTAAAATAAAATACTTCTAAAACAAAATGTATTATGCTAATAGGGAAATACATAAATGAAAATACTATCACAGTTAGGATAAATGGTGAAATAATTGAAAATGTTATATTTATGTATATACACAGATATTGAACTAAAGTTTGAGGATCACTATTGTAAGAATTGCCAAAAAAGGACAAATTACTTTTATAGAGCTTTTTATAGTCTTGGTACAAATTCCAAAAAAAAAATAGTTTATAATACAATTATTCTACCGCATTTACTATATTGTTCAAATATCTTGTTCACTGCCAATGAAGCTGTATTATCAAAATTACAACTCCTAAAAAATAAAGCTATGAGAATAATATTGAATAAACATAAGTACACCAAAATAAAATCTATGTTACAAGAATTGCAGTGGGTGAATATAAAAAATTTCACATTATATTTGGTTCTTATTTTTATATTTAATATAAAAAGTCATATATTTTGCCACAACATTTAGAACACTACATGAAATTGAATAATCATTATTATACAAGAGGAAATATAGATTTTCATTTACAAAATTGCAATAGTAATATAACTATCAAATCAATATTCCAGAATGGATTACTTGAATTTAATGAACTAAATGATGATATAAAGCCTACATGTAATTTAAAGATGTTTAAAAGAAAATTAAAGGAATATTTCATGGACAGTGAAAATTCTTAGAGATGCAAATTTTGTTTTTTCTAAATATCTGTATGTTATGTAATCGTTTAGTTTTTTAAAAGAATGTAATTGTAGCAACCATGCTAAATAAATCTTAAACAAACAAACAACCGTGGAATCTTGCACGGCTTTAAGGACAGAAAACTTACCCAGATCGGTACGCACGCCTGTGATCCCAGGCACCTGAACCAGTGACGCAAATCGAAAGCATTTTTCATCATTCTGGATTGAGGGAAAATATACGAGGAAATCTATGCTGTGTGAAATATGTGTGATATATGTCTACTGAAATTAAAAAAAAAACGAAAACACCCTCCCCCATCTCCCAACAATCCACCACCCTGTGGTTCAGTCGAAAAGTTTGCCAAAAGATCAGGATCCCTTGAAACGCCACAAAACAAAGTTTGCGCGATTTTTCTTTTTTAGATTTTCGCCACCGATTTTGTCCTTGGCCTTGTGTAAAAATTTCATTAGAATCCGACTTTCCAAGGTATACACAGGTCAAGGATTAGCGGAAGGACAGGCCGACAGACAAACAGACCGAAGGAAATGTCATATAACATCGAAAAAATATCTTGCAAAATTTTTGAAATGAATGATTAGGAAACTTCATATATGTAACTATTGGAACTATTCTCATCGCTTCTTTAAAATTGAATTATACAAAAAATAACATTCAAAACCGTAAATTGAAAGAGACCTCATTCAAATTCTCTGTATTTCCTTCTGGAAGAAGCAGCCAAAAGGGATTGTTTTTTCATACATCACTAATCGAAGTACCAATGTCAAAGAAAAAATGCTTTTTAACTCACACCTGACAAAACCCTAACCTCTATTGCGAGGGCAGGGTCACACATGCTAACGACATGGCGCGGAAAAACTTCTATCTATAGTACTTACTACGTCAAAGCTTTGTCTTTGAGAAAATGAGTAATGTCTGGCAGCCCTGGGATCTTATACAATATGTTTATATCCTTCCAGGAAACGTACCGGAAAACTTCCCTATCGAGTTGATGCCCATGGACTACGGTGGTGAAGCAGCCAGCATCGATGAACTGGATCGTGAAACCAAATCATTGATCAGCAAATACCACCAATGGCTCATTGAATCCGCCGAATTCAAGAGCGATGAATCCAAAAGGATCAAGAAAGCCTCCTGGTGGGGTTTCTTCGGTGGAAGCAAAAACAACACAGTCGAGTTGGACGAGAAAACCATATTGAAGAATCTGCAAATCGACTAGGGAGGCAGATGTTAGGTGGCCGAATTTTTTGTATATAAATATATCTTTTGGTATTGTACTAATGTTATTCGTTTCATGAGTGTACTACAATGTATGGCGATTTGAATTCTATGTCAGATGATCCACTTTAACGCTCGTTCGTTTGGGCATCTTTAATTCTAATACTTTAACTGCTATGTTCCGCAGAACATAAGGCGTGTTTAAAAATCATGTAGTACCCTAATATTCAAATGTTAATTCTACCTCGTATATTGTCTTCCAAAAGAATCGGAAATGTCTTCGTTTAAATTATGTGGTAGAAGAACTTGTTAACTATTTTTGTAGATATGCAAATTTTATGTTAGTTGCTTAACGGTTACGTTATACAACCTGCAATAATCAATTCAAATATTTTTGGATACTATTTATATAAGAAAGTAAATGATTTTTAGAGTTTAGTTTGTCTTTACTTATTCCCTTCTTTCATATGTCATTCCTGTATGTACACAATGACCATGTCCAAGATCCCGCCATACAAATTCCGCTCAGTCTGCACCGCTATATAGATATAGACGAAATTCACACGGCCGGATCCCAGACACAGTCACCAAACCGTAAGTCCTTTTAAAAATAAATTCTTAACACATTAAAAGTTTACAAATTTTATTAATCAAAGACATTTTCATCACAATATGAAACTATGAATTATATAAATTAAAAGATCGAATAAATTATATAATGCAATGACATAGCGACTCTGCAACTGTTTTACTTGATGAAAGGCTGAGGTTGGAGTAGCCTAGGCCAGCATTCCAAAAAATCAGGTCCAATCGCAGATGTGGGCCAAAGGCAAGTAGGTAGCCAGGTAAGGATTCAAAATACGGCCATATGTAAGATCCAAAATAAAGCTTAGCCAAGTGTAAAGTGCGTTGCAAAAAATGTCAAAGTATGGCATAAATAGTCCACCAAATTGCTGGATAAGATCTTTTTTAGAGAATAGGTCCCAATTTGTGAGTATCGTCGATAGTGGTCTGAATGCGCTTATTAAGTCCGACATAGCTGACATCGCCATAAGCGTCCCTCAGGGCTCTATTCTAGGACCTGTGCTATTCAGTCTATATGTAAATGACCTTGAGTTCTGTTCCTCTGAAGGTAGATTCATTTTATATGCAGATGATATTTCAGTAGTGATATCGAATAAGTGTGAGGCTACATTAGAGAGATATTGTGGAGTTTTATTGCAAGGTATTCACAAGTGGTTTAGCAGCAATCAGCTCTACTTGAATTCGGAAAAAACATCAGTTGTCTAATTTCACAACATCCAGAAGAAGCCTAGGACATTAAATATCACTTTTAATGGCTCAAGAATGTCGCTTAACACGCAAGTTAAATTCTTGGGCTTGTATCTAGATACAGGTTTGAACCACTGTGTATACAGGGTGGCGCATCGAAAACGAAACAGACGCATTTACTGGCAGCTCAGTTTTTTTTTTGGAAAAACGCTCAGACCCGTCGATTTTGTTTTCGAGGGGGACACAAGTTTGGCAAAAAATCACGTTAACACGTGCAGCCCCCTGGGCTGGACACCAACCCTAAAATCTTAAATGGAAAGGGAGGTCGAGTGATACCTTATTTGAAAGGTCTTTCAATTCTCTTTATAGTGATGTAAAATAAAGGAGCTTCAGTTCAGTGGTTTTGAGGATTTATTGATTTAAAGCTTAAATTAGACTTTAATAGGTCAGAAGAAATTTGACTAAAAGAATTTACTTAATAAGTAAATGCTTTTCTTCACTACGCCCATGGTTTTTTATCATTTTGTTGTTGAAAATAGCGATTGGAGCGTTTTTTTGTGGCAAAAAAGTTATTTCTTGAAGAAAGATAAGGAAATATCTCGTACTTATTTTAAATAGGAATTTAGTACATAGTTTGCGATTGATTTGACCAAACTTTGTTGCTAAAATAACTTGTAACGCTTTATTACATAAATTAACCATGGTATATTCCACAGCAGAAAGAGTTGAAATTATCGAAATATTTTTCGGAAATAATCAGTGCGCTAATAGAACAGCAGAAATATTTAATGAGCGACATGAGAACATTAACGTGCATCGAAAATATGTTCTAGAACTTTTAGCTAAATTTCGGGTCAGTCGCCAATAAAAAACGCAACATTGAAAATCCCATAAGGAATGAAGCAATAGAAGTGGGGGTTTTAGGGCAAGTTTATGTAGATCCTACGTTATCTACCCGCAAATCGGAGACTGTGTGTGGTGTTAGTCGACGTACTGTCCAACGGATTCTAAAGGCCCATAGTTTTCATCCGTAAAAAATTCACACAAGAACTTAATGAAGACGATTTTGATCGGCGATTACAATTTTGTGAAGATATGAGTGAACGAATTATAAACGATGAACATTTTCTATTCAACACTTGCTTTTCCGACGAATGTTCCTTTTTCTTAAATGGTGTAGTAAATCGTCATAACTGCCGATATTGGTCCGATTCTAATCCCAGAATTTATCATGAGGTTCATACACAGCAGCCACAAAAATTAAATGTTTGGGCTGGTATTTTTGGCGATCATTTAGTTGGTCCTTTTTTCTTACCTGGAAATTTGACCGGTGAAATGTATTTGGAATTACTGGAAGACTCCATAGATCCTGCATTAACAGCCATAATTGAAAATCAGAATGATCGGCGGTACATTGCGAATAGGTTGATGTTCCAACAGGATGGTGCCCCACCACATTACTCATTACGTGTTCGACAATATTTAGATCAGACGTTTCCAGATCGATGGATTGGTAGAAGAGGTGCCATTTTAGTGCCCCCAACATCGCCATATTTATCACCTTTGGATTTCTTTATGTGGGGTTATTTAAAAAGCAAAATCTATGCTACTCAGCCATCATCATTAGAAGACCTGCGACAAAGAATTGTGAATGAGTGCCTCCAAATTACTCCAAAAATATTGCAAAATGTGCGGCAACGTTTTGAGCAAAATCTTTATTATTGCATGGAGAGTCATGGTGGCCACTTTCAACATTCACTTGCCTAACGGGTCAGTTCAATCTTCATTTTTAAATTACTTTGCTGCCAAATGTATTGATCTCTACTAATGATGTATTAATTTTATTTAAGCTTTAAATCAACAAATCTTCAAAACTACTGAACTGAAGTACATTAATTTTATATCATCATAAAGGGAATTGAAAGACCTTTAAAATAAGGTATCACTCGACCCCCCTTTCCATTTAAGATTTTGGGGGTGCTGCCACCCCCGCTTAGGGGGCTGCACGTGCTAACGTGATTTTTTGCCAAACTTGTGTCCCCCTCGAAAACAAAATCGACGGGTCTGAGCGTATTTCCAAAAAAAAACTGAGCTGCCAGTAAAAGCGTCTGTTTCGTTTTCGATACGCCACCCTGTATATATTTATATCCATACATAGAGGTAAAATCATCCTTTAATATCGCTGGTACCATAATTTGTACAAAATTATGGAGGATGATTAAAATATTTGCAGTGTTCATCCGATTCACACCACTTAAGAAAGGATTCGTAAAAAAAATTAAGAGCAAACCAGACCAAATATTTACGAAATAAAAACAGATGAATGACGTAGTATAATTATATATTAACTCAATCACACATTTTTTTCCTAATTTTTGTTTTTATCAGCACATAGTGCCCTTTCGCGTTGTTGGAACAATGAACGAATAGATACGTTTTGAACGTATGATGGTTCTGAAGAAAAGGGAAGCAAAATTCGGAAATTTATCTGCACGTAAAACTGTCAAAGTCAACGATAAGAATTTTACTAGAGATGGGGATGAGTATAGATACGCATAGAGATTAGCGTGATATTCGTATTTCATGGACGGTGAAACCGTTACACATTAATCAAATCCAAGCGAATAACCAAAATTTCTGTGTTATGTACCGCGGTTATAATATGGTTCAAGATGACACACGGGTTGATGACGTCAGTTACACGAATCGCTTGAACGCGTTGGTTTTAACCGCGGTTTTGTTGCAAGTTGTTTATTTTAGAAAAGCGCGTATATAATCTCTGATTGTTTTTATTATCACTTAATAATCGGTGCTTTTTCGTCTACAACTGTATATGGAAAGTTTAAATAAGAAACCTTTCATAATATTCATGGGAGAAATGTTTTTTCAGATTTTTTTTTTTAATGATGGTACCATGGCTTTGTAGCTATGATAACTTTCAATTCTCTAAATTTTTCCGCATGTCAAAGAAAACATTTATTGATTCAGCAGAAATGATGAAAAAATAAATTAGCAAAACCGTATACAGGTGGATATCATCTAGTGAGTTTATATGGCCATATTTTAATATCCTTGTGGTGTATGGCTACACAGGATACTTTGTTAAGCATAGGAACTACATTTAAAGTGTCCCCAACAACTGTAATGAGTATAACTAATAAGGTGCTCCACTTTATGGTAAAACTGAAGTCAGCCTGTATCATTTTTCTCAATAATGAAGCTGAAGTACAATAACAATATCCAATACCCGGTAAAATTCTAACTTGTCACATTTCAAATAATAACCAGAAATATAAAACTACTCTTGAGTTGGGTAAAAACCACAATTTTGCGGTGATAACTATGACATATAACAGCTGATTCGTGACGTCACGGATCTTATAACCAAACTGATAACTACACTCGCTTGAACGGATTGGTAAATACCAACCCAAAATGGTAAATACCATTTCCATTTGGTTATCCGCTTGAATTTGATTATTGACCTGCATGCTGTGTATGTCTTCAGAGTACTTTTCAACTAGGATATATGTATTGTGAACTATCGAATAATGTATTTGGCAACAGCCCGATCGGCAGTACACCATGTCGTCGAGAAGGGCGAAGGTCTAGTAAAACAAAATTTCATTTGACAAATACTTGGTAGAGGTTGATGTCAGATAAATTGAAGGACACATTCTGGTGGAATTACCATCGCAATCCTACTAGCAAACACCTTGAGCGAGAGTAGGCTATGTCAAGTGGATAGAGTATGGTGGAATTTAGACCACAAGTTTATTAGGGAAACATCTGGAATCAATTAAAACCAAATATTTAAAATCTTAGATATCTTTATTTGATGTATATAAAAAAAAAATTATACAAAACGAACTATCTATACAGTATTTATATATGTAATATATATATATATATATATATATATATATATATACACAAAAAAACAGGTGGAGGTCGTCTGAACCATATATGCACACGTTTTGACTCGATGGCTTCGGCAGTTCACCACCGGCGCTGGGGTCGTTTATATTACAAAAACTTGCCACACATAGTTCCCTCCGGTTTATATAGGATTAAATCTATTACTCTGTTCCCTCCTTTTTCCGTTATTTCGGAATTCACTCTTGGCAACAGCGTAAAGGAAAAGAGCGGTAATTCGTATTTTGTGGTTATGTTTAGTTCTGGATTTTGTATCACGTTGTGGGTTAATCTGTTTCGTTTTTGAATTTAGAATTTATAATGAGTGCTAGGAGTTTATTAATGTTGAAGATGGCTAAACAGAAAGGTAAGTTCATAATTCCCGATAAATAAGTACGTGAAATAGGTATGCATTAATTTATAAATGAACATGATATATGTAAATCAGCATACAAAAAATCGTATCGGAAAATTTTACTAACTATAAATAGTACAAGCCTATAAGATAAGTAGGTACTCATTATTGTTGTAAGATTAGCCAGGAAATTATCAAATTAATATTTGTACTTTTTCATATTCTATGAAATAAGAGCGATGTACAATGTTTAATGTAGAAATGTTTACTATTTGCAATATTTTTATTAATATGTTGTATTCTTTGTGGACCAATAGATAAAATTATGTTAGAACAAGATCGGGAACATAAACAGATAAATCAAACCGACTTGGAATGCATCAACAAAAATGGAAAATCTTTAATAGAATTAGATGGACAGCATAATTCTATAGCCACAAGTAACCAGAAGAAAAAAGCATGTTGCCTGGATTTAGATTGCTGCAGTAACTGTAGTTTTGTCTCTGATTCAGCGTCTTCGGAAACCATCGCCTTCGCACCAGAGGTAATAAGTAAACATATGTATCATATGAAATTAGTTGATCTTATTATCATGAAAAATAATCCAAAATGGGAACGATTAGATACCAAGTGTGAGTTCAGGTTTTGTTTATGCACTCATAAGAATTTGGAGATTTTCTTTTGTGTTTAGAGGTAACTTAAAAAAATATAAAAAATGAGGCTTTACCTAATCATTTATTTTCCAAATATTTGTGTGACTTCACTAAAGTTTTTTATAGCCCACATTATCTTGCTTTATAGAACAATTGCAAATAACTCTAACTGTTTTAATAAATTTTGTTGAGTTGCGTTGCGCTGCGAAAACAACTTTTTGTGCAAGGTAACTGAATTCTTGAATTAGGTATCCTTTTGTCAAGGAGTTTAGGAAAAAATGACCATAAAAAAAAAGTACATACTTTCTTGTGAAAATGTTTTGCGTGTGTTTGAGAGAACCGAAAAAAATAATTTTGTTTCTTTTAGTCCCACCCTGAACCCGATTTTGATATAGATTCGGATGGAGGAATATGGTACCCTCTTTCTAATTTAGAACAAACTGTAAGGTCAAATGGAACATCAAAAACTAACGATAAAATAGATCAAACCAAGAATTTGGGAATTTATGGCCAAATCTCTGAAATATCTAATGAAATAGAAATACAACCAATTATTTGTTGTGCTACTGACAGCTTTTATGTCACTGAATCTAACAGATATAAAGAAAAATGTCCTTTACCAGAGCAATTAGATAATTGTGGTGGAAAATACACCCACTGGAAGGCTTCATTGAATGATAACGAAGACTTAAAGCAAAATAGACCAAAAAGGCATTTTGCTTCAATAAAATCAGATGATAACGATGAATTTGGTAATCTCAACAACGTTCTGAACTTAGAAACATCAGATATTAACTGCGTTGATGATGGCGGGAATGAAAATTTCAGCAGTGATTACAGTAGGGATAAGGATTTTAACACTAATAATTGGTCCGAAAGTGAAAACAGTCAATGTACTAGAAACAGCAAAGACAGCAATGATGAAGATTTTGACATTGATGATATTGTGCAATCAATCGATACTGATAGTTATGAAAGCTCTGAGGAAAATGAGCTACAAGAAGAAGTAAGACAATTAAATAACATAGATATTACACAAAAAAACTTAGTTACAACAGTTGCTGAGAAATTAAAAGAACAGGTAAACCATTTTTGATTTTCCAAGTATATTTATTTATACAGTGTCGGCAATATTGTTCAGTGTCTTTAATAACAATACATAGATAATAGTTAGGTGGATAGTTGGGATCAAAATAAAGTGATTTTGTCAATCTAAATGTTGCTTGTCTTTTATTATAATATATAAAAATATAGTCTCAACTTGAATTGATCCTTATTAATTTTCAGAAAAGTGAAAACTATAGAAACAAAAAGGTCAGTTGCAAATTTTGTGACGAAGATGTTACCTCAAGAAATTTTGTGAGGCATTTGATAAGACATCATAAGCACGAAACATGTAAAAAAAGCATTGGAGTTTCCGGCAAAATGCAAAGAAAGAAAGCAGGCACTTATGGCCGATTTCACCAGCATTTCCTAAATTAAAACCTAACTAAGAATTACTTAGCGGTAGGAATTTCCTAAATACAATCTTTGGTTTCACCAGGCTAGGTAATTCTTAGTTATGAAGTTCCTAGTTAAGGCACAGTGTTTAGAAAGTTTTTGTTGTCAGGTTGCAATACTTCATAAAAATCGATTCGATATTTCATAAGTGACAAGTGACAATTATTGTCATTCATGACAGCTGTCTGCTTGGATGCTTGAATGCTATTAGGTGGTTTGGTTAAAATGGATATAATTGTGCAAAAAAAGAAAGCGCTCAGCTAATTTCAATAGCGATGATAAAATAATGCTATTGTCTTTAATTGGAACCAATAGCATTATTTTAAACAAAAAAACCGATGGTTCTACAAACCAGATGAAGGAGGAGGCCTGGCTGAAAATTGGGCAACAATTTAATTCACGTGCAGGGGAGAGAAGGTAGATATTTGTCTATTATATATTTATTAGTATTCATTACCACGTTAAATTGGTTTTTGCAGGGAGGTAGAAAGCTTGAAGAAAATATGGGCAAAACTGAAGAGCGATGCGAAAACTTACCGGGCCAAAGAACGCATTAGCGTTTCGCAAACTGGAGGTGGGCCTTCTGAAGTAAAAGCAGACCCCATACTGGAAAAAGTATTAGATATTTTGGGTCGTGCTGGTAGGGGTTTGGAAAATATCAATGATTGCGATATTGAAGAAGGCAAAGAAAATATGGTGTACCAGAAAATGCTTCATTGGGTATGTTATAATATATATATGTAATGAAATTCAATGCTAATAGAAAATGATATATTTCAGATTTACAAGATAACATTGTTGTTGAGGAAGAAGAGGAACAGGAGCATCAGATTCAGCCTCAAATAATAGTATGCATAATCATCATGTTGCTTTGGATGATTTTTAATAGATTTTTTTCAAGGATAAGACGCCTGTTCACCAAAGAAGACGACCACTAATTTCAATTGAAAGAGGGAGCTCCTTGAATGAAGCACGGTGCTTAACAGAAAGGAAAAAACAAGAACTAATAGATGCAGAAATGAGAAGGGAAATGGAACTTCACGAGCTCAAAAAAAGAAAACTAGAAAAAGATATTGAAATAAGGGATCTTATAATTAAAAAAATTAAAGGTGAGGAAGTTCTTAATTTTTTATTGAAAATGTCTAGCTACAAGTATATCTCGACTTAAATTATTTTGTCCATTTTGAATATTTCTTTCCATTTGGCCATTTTGTATATCATTTTCAATATTCTCTACTTCTACTGGTGGGACATCTTCATTTTTATCTATGCAAATGTTGTGTAATACAGAGCATGCCAATATTACATTTATAGAATTTTCTAATTTTAATCTTAATCTGGTAGCCAATACAGGAAATCTTCGTTTTAGCACTCCATATTGTCGTTCCACTGTATTTCTTGTTGCAATATGTGCCCTATTATAATTTTGCTGGCCGATAGTTTGTGGGCTTAAAAAGGTGTGTCATCAGATAATTCTAAAAATTTTTAAATATGTATAAATAACGTTATCCAAAGCAAATGTATACAAAGCATGAAATATATATGTTATTCTTGTTTCAGATGGAGAACCTCTAAACGATTTGATCACACTTATGCAAATGGGAAATTGAAGTAAAATGAATAGATATAAAATGGAATTGTTTTGCAATAAATTTCCAAATAAATTAATAGTTGTTTCTTTTATTATTTTTTAACTTACTAAAGATTGTGTGACTAAGATATTGTTTATTATGTATATCATATATCTTACTTTTAAAGGATATCCATTATCTCCCAAAAGTAATCCTGCAGCATGCACTCCTGTCTCAAATTGATAGCATAGTCTGCTATTTTGAAAAATAGCAGAATCATGTGTAGATCCTGGCCAACGACACACAATGTTTAATATCTTTAATTTTGCATCAGAGACAGTTTGTACATTCAATGAAAAATAACCTTTTCTATTTCTGAACACTTCTGCATCATCTCCACCTGAATGTAAATGTTCATAAATAATATTGTGTTGGTATTAGGTCATTAATTTACCTGGTGACTGTATCTTTATGTGTGTACAATCAATTGATCCTAGAACATTTGGAAATCCGGCAATTAAAAAAAAAGTCATGTTTTACTTTATTTCTCTCTTCATTTGTGGTGGGAAATTTTACAAATCTTTGCAGCAATGATGCCAAAGCATGAGAAACTTTCTTTACAATCCTGCAACTACTGCTACTACTAACACCACCATAATCGGCAACAGATGTTAAGTGGCATCCTGTTGCATAGAATCGCAACGCAATTAAAAGTTGGTTTATGGGTGCAATTGCAGCATTTCTGTAAAAACGAAATATTATCAATTTAATTTCAAATATTAGGTACCTTTACACTGTTATACATACCTGTAATCTGCATATGCCAGCTGATGTTCAATTTGATCTAAGACGAACAGTGCAGTGTTTTTATTCATGCGAAATCTACGGAAAAAATCCATTTCGTCGTACTGCTCGAAATAATCGGTACGATCTCTCAGAACACGAGGACGTCGTATATGTTCATCATCATCGTCATAATGGTCCAAATCTTCGATAAATTCAATCACTTCCATATAGCTGCTATATTCGCTAGGAATATAACGTCACTTATGACAAATGTCAAACGGGCTAAGAACTTCCTAACCGGCTTAGAACGCTGTTTAACCAATACCTATCTTAGGTAATACTTATCTCACTTTAGGAAATACTTAGCAACTGGTGAAACCGAAAATGGATTTGGGCAGTTCTTAACTTGAATTAAGAAACTCCTAAATTTTAAGACACGTTGGTGAAATCGGCCATAAGTGTGTTAAGAAATGAACAGAATTTTGAGCTTTACCTGAAAGGAATCATTCGTCCGAAGAAACAACTTTCTGAAGGCACAAATATTACTTATTATCCTTGTGTCTACTGTAAAGCTGTATATGCGAGAAGTTTCTTAATTCGTCATGCTAAAACCTGTTCCGCAAAAATTAGATCAGCTGAGAACACAAAATTCAAAGTTAATCATGTAGCTCTTTCACAAACAACGGTTGCATGTGCTCTAGATCCGACTGATGTAATTTCCAAGCTGAACTTGAAAGAACAGGTATTGATATTTTATATGCCTTCTTGTAATAGAACCAAATTTGCCAGCTAACAATAAACAAAAAATCTAAATTATAACTAGGATTGCTCTCTCTTAATTATTAATGTATGGTATTCAATTTTTTACAGCTAACTAGACTTTTTTTACTAGTCAATTGCCATTACATATTCAAATTATCTATTATTATCTGTTTTCAGGTTTTTAATATGATGAGGGGCGATGAGATTTCATTTGTTGCGAAAAAAGACCTACTGATAGCACATTATGGAGAATCTTATTTGAAATCTCAAAAACGGGAACGGAAGGAGTATAGATGTAGTAATAAGATAAGAGAACTTGCTCGATTATTGATTATATATAGAGCTCGTGTAAATGACAATAACGTCGCATTCAAAGATCTTCTCGATCCAGAAAACTTTGATCAAGTTCTTTCTGCTACGAGAGAACTTACAGGCTTTGATCCGATCAGAAAAAGTTATGAAGCTCCCAGCCTTGCAATGCATCTAGGTACTGCTCTAAAGATTATATCTGATGAATTAATTCATTTAATTTTGAAAGGCAGTAAGGGATTTCAATGCAAATCAGTAAATGACTCAATAGAATGGCGTCGGAAAGTCAAATATTTTAAAAAATTAGTTGAAGACAGATGGAACACTGAAATTTCTTCAGTGGCCAATAAAGACCTGAATGAAAAACGTCGGCAAAAACCACTTTTAATACCACTGATTAAAGACGTAAAAGTCTTTAGGGAAGAAACACTGAAATATGCGAAAGACTGTGAGAAAAAGTTTCTTGATAAAATAGACTCCAATGAGACATACAAGTTATTGGCTCAATGTGCTCTGGCTCTGTTAATCCTTTTCAATAGACGCAGAATTGGTGATGTTCAGTATCTTAAAGTGAATGACTATTGTTCCGAAAGAAAAACAGATTTTCAAGACTTCGAGAATGCATTATCGGAACATGAAAAAATCTTAACATAACACTACAGAAGAGTCGTAAATGGTGGAAAAGGATCACGTGCCGTTGTCATATTAGTTCCTCCATTGCTACACCACTTTATCACAATACTGATTGAAAATAGAGATAAATATATTCCTCCGGATAACCAATATATTTTCGCATTACCTAATAGTAAACTCAAGTGGGCTCAAGGGGATGTTGCATTCAGAAATCTAACGAATAAAATGAAATTAGAAAATGGGACAGCTATAACTAGCAATAGGTTGCGCAAACATATAGCAACAGCAATGCAAGTTCTTAGCATGTCACAAAACGATCGTAAGCAGTTTTCCAAATTCATGGGTCATACCGAAAAGACCCATGAGGAGTTTTATGAGTAAGTTAGATTCTATCATAAACACCTGTTTCATACAATAATTTTTTATTCAAGTAGACAATCCATACCAAATTGTGATACAGTCATAACAGATATTTTTAACACAATTTGCTTTAATTTACTTCATATACAACTCAGGTATATGATTTTGTTAAATAAAATATCACTGTGTTTTATTATTTTAGATTACCAATTGATATATATCAGACAGCCAGAGTAGTGAAACTGCTTTCTATGATGGAAAAAGGAAATCCATCGGAGTTCGAAGGCAAATCTTTGTCAGAAATTCAAGTTAATATTGATGAATATGTAGACGATAATGATAAAGGTAATATACGTATCTAAAATGCAGAATGTTCAACAAGTATTCTGCCTAAAAATTCTAATAAAATTTAGATATTAAATTTCAGACCTAAGTACCTTTATTTTATACTTGAAACAATATTCTCATGTTTGTTGTAGATAAACAAAGCCCTATTGATACAAACCAAGATGAAACTTCTTCGATGGAGTGTGATGGGTCAAAAAAAATAGTGAGTTAATTATAAATTAGTAGAAAGGTTTTAAAAATAATTATCTGTTCGAGGGATCGTTGCTTAATACTTTCAAATAATTATTCCTGATTATTTGGCAATATCATCTTTGAACATATTTTAATTCTGTTACATATTTTCTTTTTTCACTATGTACCTAATTGAAACACTCTATAAAATAATAACTATAGACTTAAGCCCCCATCACTTTTTTAGATTTTACTGGAAATGATGAAAGCAACAAGAAAAGGAAACCGGACACTAATAAAAAAAGAGGTATTTATATATCTGTCATTTGCCAAATTAATTTAATAGAAATTCCCTGATGTACCATTACTTACTATTTACAATATATTTTATTTACTTAGGTTGGACCACTGAAGAAATAAAATCACTGAAGGAACATTTCAAAAGCTTCATATCAAAAGGCACTTACCCATGTAGTTCCGAGATAAAAGAATTTGGAAAATCAACGAATAATACAAGGAGTGTTGCAGTCATAAAATCCAAGATTCAGCACCTCATAAGACTAAATTTGAAGTAAATTTATTATTTTGTACTGAATTCCCCTAGTTTTAAGAATTTAGTTGTGAATAAAAAACTTTCTCGCTCAATTTAGTTGTTTCCGTATTATCAAATATAATCCAAAATTCAGAACGCTTACATTTATCGGGTATATTCAAATAATAATGGACTAACCGCCCTCCGGAGATCTGACAACATTCCTGGAGGGGTCAAGGTTTGAATTTTCTCATTAAAACATATATAGTTTGGAGGGGACACCGTATATAATACTTCAGGTACTAATTTTTTTTTCAAAACTCTTACCCCTCTATTGAAAATCTGTGTCAATATGGTTGACTCATACTATATATGCGAATATTATTGGGCTATAAAGCATGTATACCACGGAGGTCGGTCCGCCTTACTTATCACATGGAGGGAACAAAGCATTAAATATACATATATATATATAATTAGATCAACATACTTCTCCTTCTTCTTCAAGATATTGTCCATTCTTTACAATATACCTCTCACCGTTTTCATTTTCAATAACATATTCTTCAAATGTACCTTCAACTACTTCTTCATTTTCGATATGATTTTCATCACCTGCAATAAAGTAAATGAATTAAGCGGTTGTATGATTGTCACCATTTCGAGACGCAAAAAGTGTTTCCCCGAGGAAGTATTGTAATCGCGTAAATTTTCGAAAACGAGATGTTTTTTTGGATGTTATGTGACATGTTCATCACGAAAAACCACTTCACTCATTCCGATCTGTCTGTCTGTTTGCTAATCCTATAACCGCGTATAACTTGAGAGTACCGTTCGGATTTTGATTAAATTTTTACAGAAAGGTATTATTATGTTAAAGACGAAAAAGCTTTGTAATTTTAGAAAATCGGTCCAGTGGCGACGACAATTTCTTGATGTTAGTATATTTATACGCTCCCAACCTTGGTAATTCTACACACCAATTAGAGATATTTCACACATCATAGACTCCTCCGTACATTAGCCGTTAAAACTATAAAATATTGTCAGCTGACGGATCGCGCACCTACCGGCCGTGTCTGCTGCTCATCCGGGCCTTGGCGAGTGTTCTGGTATTACACGAATTACTGCCGCAAAACAGCATAAATCAAATCCAAGCGAATAACCAAAATTTCTGTGTTATGTGCCGCGGGTATAATATGGTTCAAGATGACACACGAGTTGATGACGTCAGTTATACGAATCGCTTGAACGCGTTGATTTTAACCGCGGTTTTGTTGCAAGTTGTTTATTTTAGGAAAGCGCGTATATAATCTCTGATTATTTTTATTATCACTTAATAATCGGTGCTTTTTCGTCTACAACTGTATATGGAAAGTTTAAATAAGAAACCTTTCATAATATTCATGGGAGACATGTTTTTTTCAGATTTTTTTTTTAATGATGGAACCATGACTTTGTAGCTATGATAAATTTCAATTCTCTAAATTTTTCCGCATGTCAAAGAAAACATTTATTGATTCAGCAGAAATGATGAAAAAAGAAATTAGCAAAATCGTATACAGGTGGATATCATCTAGTGAGTTTATATGGGCATATTTTAATATTCTTGTGGTATATGGCTACACAGGATATTTTGTTAAGCATAGGAACTACATTTAAAGTGTCCCCAACAACCGTAATGAGTATAACTAATAAGGTGCTCCACTTTATGGTAAAACTGAAGTCAGCCTGTATCATTTTTCAAAAATGAAGCTGAAGTACAATAACATTATCCAATACCCGGCAAAATTCTAACTTGTTACATTTCAAATAATAACCAGAAATATAAAACTACTCTTGAGTTGGGTAAATACCACAATTTTGCGGTGATAACTATGACATATAACAGCTGATTCGTGAAGTCACGGATCTTATAACCAAACTGATAACTACAATCGCTTGAACGGATTGGTAAATACCAACCCAAAATGGTAAATACCATTTCCATTTGGTTATCCGCTTGAATTTGATTATAGTGTGTGACCGCGCTGCCACGTCTGACCGGGTTAGGTAACGGAGAGAGGCGACGTTGCCAGATGGACTACCGTTAGGGCAGGTAAAGAATGTCTATGGATCAATTGTATGGACCTGTTTGACTGACTTTTCTATCAGAGGATCTACTATGTCCTTTATGAACTGATTATGGCGTTGCATTGGAAATGCAGAATCAACGTAATTGACGCCATTTTTTAGAAAATACGAAGGTCTACGTTTAGCTGGGTACAGTGAATCCATATGCGGATATAGGGAAGGACTCCAGCGGAGTACCGTTGACAGCAGCGCTATTGTACTTATTTTTTGTTTTTTTTCTGCCTCTTCATTGTATTGACAGACTTGTAACACGATTATCATAAAGGTCTGACTAATAGTGAAAACTAGTATAAATCATGTATTTTGGTAAAGTGCAGCTATGTAGAAATCACTAATAGATCAAAGTAGCTATTTTGAATGCAACGAATCAAAAGAAAATGGAGTGGATCCATAAGGATATACTGAAAATTAATATACGAGGGTGAATCCAATATTAACCGGACTTTTCTGTTTAACGCGTCTTAGGAGAATGGAGTGGGTCGATGTCTTGGTTGTTGGGTGGGCATGTCAGAAAGATGGGAGTTGCACACGTCTGTTGCGCGACGCATTTTCATAATTTTCTGTCGCGGGAGGGCGTAAAACCTACCGAAAGTTTGCGTCGATTAACAGCACAGTTTGGCGAAAAGACAGTTTGAAGGACACAAGTATACGATTGGTAAAAAAATGTTCCATGGAGTGGCGAAAGCCAGCACCGCGAAAGGCCAAAATCAGTCTTTCTGCAGGAAAAGTTCTTGCAACGGTATTTTGGCATTCCAGAGGTGTACTGTTAGTGGATTTTCTTCACGATCGCGGTACAGTTAATGCTGTTTACTTCTGCCAATTGCCTAAAGAAATGGAACTGGCCTATCGGCAAAAAAGGCGAGACACGCCATTCTGCTCTATGACAACGCTCGGCCAAACTCAGCTGCATTGACCCAAGAAAAATTATGCAAAATCCATTGAACACCCGCCTTACAGTCCCGATTTGCCGCCATGTGAGTATCACATTTAGGCCACTTAAATAAGACCTTGGGAGATCACCACTTTGACGACGACGAAGGTGTGGAAAAGTTAGTGCACAATTGGCTACTGACACAACCAGCTTCGTTCTTTGATAGGGAAATTAAAAAACTTCCGATCCGATGAGAAAAATGCATCATAAGAGATGACATTATGTAGAAAAATAAGATGTAAATAAACTTGTATTTACTACACCTACAGAATTACTAAAACAAAAGTCCCGTTCATATTTGATTCACCCTCGAACACTAACTATGCTTGGACTGTACCCGATTATCACTATTGTACCTATAATGACAATTATACTGATTTAGACTTAACATTGGATAGACATTCACCACGCACAGGATTTGCCTACTGTGGGTATTTATTTATTTTTATTTGCATGTTATTTTTATTTCACCTGGAACATTTGTAATTGTAATTGAAAGTAAATAAATACTATTATTAATAATAATAAGCGAACTCCGTGTGCATGTCAGCATCCCGTAGCCACCTTAGACGGGTAGCGGATAGTGACGTGCGACCAGATCGGTAATCAGAGCATCAGGAAATGAGGCATTAATTCAAATACTGAATGTGAATGTCCTCGGTTTCATACAGTCCTCACAAGTTGGTTGGCAGTTATAATATTATAAAAAAAATTAAAATCGTTATTTTAATTTTTGCCATTAGTTAGAAGTACCTATCCAGTTTTATGACATTTTGCCTCGCAAATTGGCAAGGAGGTATTGTAATCGCGGGAAATTATGAAGATGAGATACTGATTTTTGAATGTTACATGACGTACACATCAGGAAAAACCATGTCATTAATTTCAGTCAATCTGACCGCAATTTTGATGAGATTTTGAAACAGGATTAGTACTGAGGACGAAAAAGCATTGTATTTCTTGAAAATTGATCGCAGCTGCAGGCCGAAATCGAAAAAAAATAACAGTTTAGCCCGTTCCAAACTTAACTGACCACAAAAACTCAACGTACTGGACTATGAGTATAATACTATAAGTATACTGACCTGCAATAAGGAGTTTAACTGCTCTAGTTTCTTCTCCTTCCTCTTCGTAGGCTGGTTCCAGGTATTGCTCCTCCATGGAAAGGCGATCTTCCGAATCAGCTACTCCCTGGAACGTTGAATCAAAGTTCACGTTATCTGCGTGTTCTTCATTCTCCAAGTACTCATAAACTTCGGCAGAATCTTCATCATTGTTGACATTCTGTAGCGGATCATCTGTACCGTCTACTGTCTGATCGTGTTCCTATAAAAAACAGCCATCAGCAATGTTAGACCAACATACTTCATATATTTAAAATTTTGGGTGATATAAAAGTATTATTTTGAGCAGCTTAGACCCGTAGCACTGTTAGTATCGACTTAACATAGGTGAATCAGATGTGCATTGCCTCTGACCTTTTTGCAGATACTCCTTTGACAAATGTTGCTGACAATAAAAAAAAGTAACAAAATATTAAGTTTATTACAAAAAACTGTTTTGAAGTTAAGCTTCATGATTCAGTTACGGCCAGAATTTTTACATAAATAAATCCTCCTAAAATTCATAACATTGTGGTGCATGATAGAAGAGGTGCAATTTCTTATGATGTCCAACGCAAGTGTCGAGTTTCAGGGGTAGGACATCTTGTGAAAACTAATATGGTGCTGGTCCACCCGTAACGGTAACGACTGACAAAAATATTAAACAAGTACATTAAAAAAACCGAATGCAGTAACTGAAAGGGATGACATTATAACTGTGTTATCAAGACGAATATAAAAATAAATCGATTAACCGAGTAATTGATTATTATTTCTTATAATCGTTTTTGATCGAGAATATGTTTTTGACCCTACAGCAGCGTTACGGAATCAAATTTTGCTTTTCAAGTTGGTATGGAGAATTCAAACGTGGACGGGTGAGTCTTAGCGACGATCCCAGGGTGGGTGAACCAAAACCGGCAGTCACCCAGGAAAACGTCGATGCTGTGCGCAAACTCATCATTGAAGATAGACATGAGACATATCGCGAGATTGAGGCGTCCTTGAAGATCTCAAAGACCACAATTCAAAAAAATTTACATGAAGAATTAGGAGTAAGAAAATTAGTTTCTCGTTGGATACCCCACCTGTTGACTGAAGAGCAGAAAGCAGCCAGGGTTAATTGGTGTCAAAAAACGCTTGACCGTTTCAATTCCGAAAACTCAAAAAATTTGTACAGCATTGTTAGTGGTGATGAATCGTGGATTTACTGTTATGAACCAGAAAATAAACGACAGTCGGCTGTTTGGGTGTTCCAAGCTGAAGAAAAGCCAACAAAAGGAATCCTTTCTCGAGGTGTTTCGAAAAAGATCGTCGCGACATTTGTGTCAAAAGCGGGTCATATTGCAACAATTCCTCTTAATGAGCAAAGAACTGTTACTGCGGATTGGTATACCACCATTTGTTTGCCAAAAGTCATCACCGAGCTTCGAGAAATCAACCTCGAAAGAAGAATCATACTCCACCAAGACAATGCAAGCTTGCACACAGCCCAAAAAACAAGGCAGTATTTAACGGAAGAAAACGTGGAATTATTGGACCATCCTCCATATAGTCCCGGTCTAAGTCCTAACGATTTCTTTACTTTCCCGAAAATTAAAAACAGACTGCGTGGTCAAAGGTTCCAGTCACCAGAAGAAGCAGTTGACGCATTCAACAACATTGAGAAGAAATAGCAACTATTGTGCAAAATGATTTTAAATTACTTACATTAGTATGTGAGATTGTTGCTAAGTGTGATTAACGGTTAGGTTGAGGGAAACATTTAGTAGCCTGATGAAAGCTGGATACATGATACATTCGTTAAAATTAATATAAAATACACACAGCTGTATGTCAGGAATACATCAAAACGTATTAAAAAATATTTAGAACGAAAGTTAAAACTACATCGTGAACCACCTGATGCTGCACAAGATGGTGTGCCACACACACACACACACACATATATACAGGGTGGCCAAACACGTGACGTCATAAAAAAATATTAGATTCCCCACATCGAGAGGAACCCAAATCATCCCCACATATATGGTCCGATTTTGTTTAGTTTAGGAGTTATGATTTTTTTTCGGATTTTTCGAGAATTTTTGAGTTCTGTGTTTATTTTTACCATAACTTCGTTAATAATTGTGATAAATGCCTGCTTTTTTCACGATTATGTAGCTAAGACCTAAGGCTTAACTATCATATAATCATTCAAGTCATGTAACTAATACTACTTTTTAATTTTTTTCAAAATCTTCGAACATAACAAAAAAGTAAAAAAGTGCAACAACTTTGAACGTTTATAAAAAATTGAAAAAACATGTTCTTACTATTCGTAAGTGTCTTAAAAACTTCCTTACGGTATCAGCTATTTACCGTAAAAATTTCATCAACCTAGCTTTACTACATGCTACCGTAATTGTGGCTCAAATAGAACCGAACCCAAAATTGGATAACCCCCTGCTCAATAGAAATTATTAGTTTCGGAAAAAAAATTTGCAAAAACCACAAAAACACGTTTGATTTTTACTGAACAGCAGACTATTATTCATTTATGTTATTTACAAGAGGTTTTCAAAATGTCTGCCTCTAACAGAAATGCACAGTGTACACCTACGTATGAAATTTTGTTTTAAATCTCTAAATGCTTGTGTGTTGTTTTTCAACACATGTGTCGCTTCTTGAATTTTGTTCCTCAATGGATTTTCATTTGCACATTCTTGGGCGAATGTTATGTCTTTAAAATATCCCCAAACAAAAAAATCAATGGGGTTGAGGTCAGGGGAGCGTGGAGGCCATCGTATCGGTCCGTTTCGTCCGATCCATCTGTCTGGGAACCTTTCGTTTAAGTAGTTTCGCACGATCGTTGCGTTGTGGCATGGTGCACCATCATTCTGGAACACCATGTTCCGTCTGGCTTCCAGGCTTGAATCTTCCAGCAATAATGGTAGGCTATTTTCAAGGAAGCTTTTGTAGGCTACCGAATCCAACCTTGACGGCAGTTCAAATGGACCGATAAATTCCATATTGAATATTCCTGACCACATGTTCACACTAAAACGGTGTTGAAATGTCGACGGCCTTGAGTGGTGGGGGTTTTCAACAGCCCAAGTATGTAAATTATGGATATTGAATATCCCTGTTCTTTCAAAACGTGACTCGTCAGTCCATAAAATTTTATCAAAAAAATCGGGATCCTCTCGTTGTCTTCGCAGCATTGTCTCGCAGAAATCCACTCTTAACTGGTAATCTGAAGGCATCAACGCTTGAACTCTTTGAACATGATAGGCATGATAACCTTCTTCATGAAGAATATTTTGTATCGATGTTCGTGGTATTCTAAGGTTTTGTGCCATAGATCTCGTACTCGTTGAGGGATTCCGGCTAATTTCTTCAAGTACTACTTCTCTGCGATCCGGATCAGCTGTAGGATATCCTTCATTGCTTCCTCGTCCTGGAATGCGGCCTGCCATGAAAGTGTTATGTGTGTTAATAAAAACACGGTGGTCTGGGTAATGCTCAGGTTGTGGTCCGCCTCGGCGTATAAGTTGTTCCCGGTACAGCTGAGCTGCTAAAGCGCCGTTGCCTTGAGCAACGCCATAATAATAATGCATCGACATTTCAACACCGTTTTAGTGTGAACATGTGGTCAGGAATATTCAATATGGAATTTATCGGTCCATTTGAACTGCCGTCAAGGTTGGATTCGGTAGCCTACAAAAGCTTCCTTGAAAATAGCCTACCATTATTGCTGGAAGATTCAAGCCTGGAAGCCAGACGGAACATGGTGTTCCAGAATGATGGTGCACCATGCCACAACGCAACGATCGTGCGAAACTACTTAAACGAAAGGTTCCCAGACAGATGGATCGGACGAAACGGACCGATACGATGGCCTCCACGCTCCCCTGACCTCAACCCCATTGATTTTTTTGTTTGGGGATATTTTAAAGACATAACATTCGCCCAAGAATGTGCAAATGAAAATTCATTGAGGAACAAAATTCAAGAAGCGACACATGTGTTGAAAAACAACACACAAGCATTTAGAGGTTTAAAACAAAATTTCATACGTAGGTGTACACTGTGCATTTCTGTTAGAGGTAGACATTTTGAAAACCTCTTGTAAATAACATAAATGAATAATAATCTGCTGTTCAGTAAAAATCAAACGTGTTTTTGTGGTTTTTGCAAATTTTTTTTCCGAAACTAACAATTTCTATTGAGCAGAGGGTTATCCAATTTTGGGTTCGGTTCTATTTGAGCCACAATTACGGTAGCATGTAGTAAAGCTAGGTTGATGAAATTTTTACGGTAAATAGCTGATACCGTAAGGAAGTTTTTAAGATACTTACGAATAGTAAGAACATGTTTTTTCAATTTTTTATAAACGTTCAAAGTTGTTGCACTTTTTTACTTTTTTGTTATGTTCGAAGATTTTGAAAAAAATTAAAAAGTAGTATTAGTTACATGACTTGAATGATTATATGATAGTTAATCCTTAGGTCTTAGCTACATAATCGTGAAAAAAGCAGGCATTTATCACAATTATTAACGAAGTTATGGTAAAAATAAACACAGAACTCAAAAATTCTCGAAAAATCCGAAAAAAAATCATAACTCCTAAACTAAACAAAATCGGACCATATATATGGGGGTGATTTGGGTTCCTCTCGATGTGAGGAATCTAATTTTTTTTTTATGACGTCACGTGTTTGGCCACCCTGTATATATAGTAAACTAAACTTTGAGGATCACTATGAATACATCATTTCAAAAATTGCCAAAAAAACAAATTATTATTATTATAGAGCTTCTCATAGTCTTGGTACATATTCCAAAAAAATATTTTATGATACAATAATTATTCTAATGCATTTACTATATTGTTCAACTATCTTGTTCACTAACAAAGAAGCTGAATTCTCAAAATTACAAGTCCAGCAAAATAAAGCTATGAGAAAAATATTGGATAAAAATAAGTTCACTAAAATAAAATCTGTTATAAGAATTGCAGTGGTTAAATATAAAAAAATGTATAACATATTTGGTTCTTATTTTTATATTTGAAATAAAAAATCATCTTTTGCCACAACATTTACATAGAATTGCATAATAATTAACACAATTATTATACAAGAGGAAATAAAGATTTTTATTTACAAAATTGCAATAGTAATATAACTAGCAAATCAGTATTTCAGAAAGGATTATTTGAATTTAATAAAGTAAATAATGATATAATGTCTACTTGTAATTTGAAGATGTTTAAAAGAAAATTAAAGAAATATTTGATGGATAGTGAAAATTCTTAGAGATGCAAATTTTGTTTTTTCTAAATATCTGTATGTTATGTAAATGTTTAGTATTTTAAAAGAATGGAATTGTAGCAATCATGCTAAATAAATCTTAAACAAACAAACAAACAAACTGGGCAAACAACTTTTACGGGAATTACGTCAGAACTTCAGAGAGACTCTAAACATGTTCTATTGCTAGCTTAGATCCCAAAACACAATTCTACCCGCAAAAGAGAGAACAACGCAAGAGATTGGAGCGCCGCATGCAAATACTGAAACTGTTCAGATTCTGGATATAATAGTTACTGGCAATGGAGGATGGCATGACATGACCTATTATGCAGTCTTTCCGGTCATGTAGCGCCAACGTTCTCCCAAACCGGGCAATCGTTCATTGATGTTGTCAGTGTCGTGGGCTTAGTTACAGAACCAACGGTAATATGTAGTACGTTACCGGCACATATTCTCCTGGCTCCTCTTCCTCTTTAACAAGCATGTTTTCGGTGTTCCGCTGATACCTCTTCTTGTAGGGGCGACGCAGATCAAACGTGTCCAAGAGCGATGTGGCAACCTCTGGATGAACGTCATACAGATGACTTTTCAACGCGAACTTTCTTCCGAAGCCTTCGTTGCACACTGGACACGTGTAGGTTTTATTATGGTGAGTCATGTGTTCGTCGTAGTCGGACTGATCCTTGAAAGATTTCCAGCAAACATGGCATCTGTAGAACGAATTAAGATCTGGATAAAACAAGCATGCACAGACTGATTCCAAAAAAAGTTCCCAATATACCGATTGCTCTTAAAGGTTGGACTTTCTTTCACGTAGAGGGTATAGCTCTTGTAATCAAAATAAGCAATTTTTCCATAAACACATACATCAAAGTCTTGAGGCAATCGAGTTATCAGGGTCCGAAAAAACAAAGGCGGTCCTTCCTTCAGAGGTGAATAGATTCGACGCATGTTCCAGCGTCTTGTAGGTAAACCTAGCAGTTTGTTTACAAATCGGTTACGAAAAAAACGAAAATTGCACATTGCTATGAGCATAACGAACTTGTCGATATGTTATTAGTCGTTAGTTTATGATGAGTGTCTTAACGATGCTGTTGAGGATTGGCGAATATGCTGAAATTCGAGGTAACAAAATTGATGCACAATCTTAGCTTTAAAGTCACTACGACGAATATTTCAAAATGGCAGTAAGGCGCCATCAGCATTTTTTGAATCGAATGTCACTCATATGCTTCATGGCATTTGAGTATAAAATCCGTATCTGCAAAAATCTCAGACTAGCAGGTTGTCGAAATTGAGCTGTTTTGTACATTGAATCACTTGTAACTCAACAACAAATCACCAAGACGCTATAAGTAGTATGTTATATGAATCTCCTTTTCCTGGAATAGTCTATCCGAATTTGCGATAAAACATTTCGTTTAAAATTATTGTAATTTATTTTTAACCGAAATGTCTCATATTTTACCTCTAATTCCGAGGAACATTCCAAGAAAAAAAGATTCATATACCATACTCATACAAAGGTCCTGGATTTTTCTCTGCCTAAGAATGTTCAATACCATCCCAGTGTCTTACAAAAAACTAAATAATTTAAACTCATTTAAAAAACAAATAAAAGCCTGGCTGCACGTGGTCCCAAGAGGTAAAATCCATATGTACATAGAAGGCACGAGCTATACATTGTAAGTTGTAGGTCATTCTCAGATTAAATTTTCCATTTCCTAACCAGTACTTTTGAAGCCTTCATATATTATACTTAGTGTAGATCTATTTAGCCTTAGCGGTCTGTGATTTGACCGAAAAAATAGTTATAGATAGATTAGCCGCTAGTTTAGTTAAGTCATGAAGCCTTAGCGGCCCATCTTAAATTATCTGTAGTGTTGTATTTCAAAATCCTTGAGTTTAGTTTTGGTCCAGTTGGATGTAATGGCCACGCACAGGTTATCCTTTAGTGGTTAGTACTTCCTCTGATATACCATATTCTATGAGTACAAATCCATACTTCACTTACATATATGGAATTTCACTCAAATGCATATACATCACTCATTTGTTAATTAGAATAAAAAAAGGATTTTATTGTGTTACGTCATCGTTAGTATATAAGTATTTTCTGTTTTCCTTTACCCGCGCACAAGGGCCACCCTTCTGCGGGCTCTTCATTTATTTGTCCTCTATAAAATTCTGTGTAATGTATTTTGGAGACAAATAAATATTACTACTATTACTATTACTATAGAATCTTGATGACTGGTTGAGTTACAAGCGATTCAATTGTACAAAAACATTCAACTTTGACAGCCTGTTAGTGTGCAATTTTCAAAAAACCGGATGAATGGATAAGTTTCTTGATGTTCAGAATCGCATAAGTAATGACATACCAGTAAAATATAGATGAAATATAATCAAACAGTGAAAAAATCATTGAAATCGGTAAATAAGAAATTAATACTTAAATTTGGGGCATTATAGCGCGAAATCATTGCTGCCGTCAGTTCGCGTCAGACGTCACACTTCCACCGACTACTTTATATTTTATCAGATTTTCAGTATCATTCTCAATGTGCAATAAGAAAAATGCATTCGACGTCGAAATTTGAAGTAACCTAATTTGATAAAGGTGTTACTTTTCTAAAATCTCATTAAAATATATAACAACATTGCACATGATGCAGTACGAAGTCAACCTACTTGACGCTTTTTAGCACACAGCTATTCTCGCTTGGTTGAAATAAGTGATCTGTAATATTAGTTGATAAATATTTCCCCGCCAAATGCCACGTGTACAGTGAAATAAGCTATAATAACTAATACGAGTAATCATCAATAAATAGTAAAGTGATATTTCAAGTGGTCTTCACAGACATATGTTGTACTTTTTGGTCTAATCAAACCACGCTTCAGAAGTTTGCAACATTTCTTCCTGATATTTTCATGTGAGGGTACGTAGAAAAATTGTTTATTAGGGGTCGTAATTGTTGTGCTCGTACATTTTGGAACGATACCGTATTTATAACCTTTGTTATTTCGCTCATAACCGATCGTATATGCAGTCAACTAAAATTAAACAAATTGGCACAGAAGATGTTTAGCCTACCACGTGTTCCCGCTGTATGTGTACCTACATATTATGTACGTGTTCAGTAAATTCAGTCAGCGGGCCCAGGAGTCGGCCACGGCTGTCGGATAGTGAAGTGTGACGTCACGCGTCGCGTTCAGACGAAACAAAAGTATTCTCGCGGTGCGCAACTTTGATAGGCTGTAACTTTTTTATTTTTAGAGATAAATTAATAATTTTTTCACCACGTTATTTCATTTTTCTTAAACTTTCATTTGAGCTAATTACAAAAAAATGATTATCTTGTCCATTAGGTTAGAATTGAGAATAAAAAAAATGACACAAAACTCACTACTCTGCCTATCAAGAGAGCAGATATGTAGGCTGCCAAACTTTGGTGTTTTTTTTAGATCAAATATCTAATATCTCACCAACTAATAATCAAAACTCATAAGTATGAATATCCATATTTTTCTTTTAAAAGGGCCTATCCAAAAATGTAATAGAAAGAACATCGCATTTAAAAAAAAAGATATGTGGGACATAATTGGAACATCCTGTATGATACTTCAGAGATCTGCCACTAGATACCATATATAACCCATAAATAGTTTTTTGCTCCGTACTGACACGGTTGGGACACCCTGTATATTTTAATATTTCCAGCTTAATATTTCTCACTTCATACGGTATCAGGTCTCTCACTGTGGATTTATTGATTTAAAAATCATATCTAGACTGTATTTCCAGTAAGGTGAGCTGCAGAGAACATACATATATGGTCGCGTGACCTCAGCATACGTCATATGGCACCACAGCCTGTTCTGTCTCGTTATTACGTTGCAGAATAGACGCTCACATTATGTGTTAGCGCATTTACCAAGTCATAGCATAAACAAAATGTAAAACATGCTTACTTAAATTTTCCTGAATCCTTCTGATGCAACCTCTCATGTCGTTCTGCGTTATTTTTGAATTTAAACGTCATTCCACAAACGCTGCATTTGAACTTTCTTTCAGCTCTGTGATTCTTCAGGTGGTTATACATATTCTGCCTAACAACTACCTTACCGCAAATTTTGCATGGAATAGGCTCTTTCCCTGAAAATCGATTTCACAAATACAGATTGATTGCTTTTGAAGGGCAGTAGAACTATTGATTAATGTATGCCAACAGAAGATACCCAATTCAACTGACTGTTCCAAAGGTATTTGCTTTTCTGTCGTTGAGAATTTGTGAGAATACCAAATCTTAGGATTAATTATGAGGGAGGTTGAGGAGTAATCTTTCCATAAAGAGTTGGGGTCGTGTTTAAAAATTAAAAAAAAATCGTTAAAAGAATAATGGAGTCATTTTTATTACTTCCAAGTGCATTCATACTTGAATGTTCAATTGGGCATCTTCTTGGAGAATACGATAATCAATGTTATAACTAACAATACCCCAATGATGAGGGCCAAAAATGCAACAACTCCATGATTGTATGACATTTTGTACTTTGAAAAAAGCCGAGATGCCGGGAAAAAGTAATTCAAACATATGTGGTTTCACTTAGCTCCCAGACAATCATGGAGACCTATAAATATGAAAACGACACGAAAAGTTTCAGAAGTTACAACTATCGAAAGTGAAACATACGAAGTAATCATACATGACAAAAATAATAATACTCACAATCTGTTTTTTTCCTCTCACCAGTGTCATTGCCTTCCTTGCCTGCCTCCATGTGTCTTCTCATATGCCGTTTCAAATAGTCGTTTCTGTACAGTCCTAGTCCACAAATGGGGCAAAAACATTTTACTTCTTTCCTATGCACCACACTGAAACAGAATGATAGGCGTATGTTACAAATATTTCTGTAAGAGTTCTTCTTTCGTTGGCTACCCTGATGTTGGCAAGCTGCTCGCGATATTCAGCTACTCTGAAAGGTTGCTGGCATGTTCCATCGAACTCAAGGACACAGACTCGGTGACAAGTGGCTCGCGTCGTCAATAAGATCGCTCGCCTTGTTGACATTGGTCGGAGACAATAAAATTATAATCCCAGTTCAGAGAAAAACGTACGTTTCCAAGTAAATATGATATTATTTTCTTCAATTTTATTTATATGTAGATTTCGAAGGCCATCTGTAAAATTTTGGCCTTAAACCAGAAGACCATTCTAAACAGTTTAAATTGTTTCTACTTTTATCAGAACGTTAGTCCACGGGCTTGAATTTTTTTCTGTTAGGCCATCATATGGATCAGATTAGCCCGTTTATTCAGCTTCCTGTTCTGGAAATCTCCATACGATCATTTGGCGCGGAGATATCTGACTTTAAATGAAAAAGGATACTTTTGTCAACGACCAATGATATCTCAGTAACAAGTGATGAATGCAAGGGTATTTCCAAAAACTAGAATAAGCCTCCTATACGATTTAATTGCAATCTTTGATTAATTTGCCTTGGTATTTGTGTGTTTGAGATTTATTCAGCATGATTGAAGAAAAACAACCCTGGTGTTTAGTAACCAGCAACTTGAGAGATAGGTGAAATGGGCGCTGGCGGGATTCGAACCCGCATCTCCTGTATTCCATGGAACCAATGTAACCAATTAGTCTACAGCACCACTGGCAATCAACATCCAGGATCCACTGTGTGAGACAAATTCAATCCTGCCCACGCCACCGTTCCTTTGCTCTTTCAAGCTGCTTGCCCCATCTGGCGGCTTTCAAGTGGAACAAATTAGATTGGTAAATAATCTCCAATCGCTTTCTAGTTGCAAAACGGTACCATCGTTCGAGGACAATAAACCGGTATTATTGAAAGAGCTTAGCAGTTAATGTTCAAAATTGTAATATCTATAAAGTGAAGCCATGAGAAAAAATTTAACTGCAATCAAATACGCTAAGATTGAGTATATGCCAGAAGATCTGCAGTGCTTGGCAAATTTTTCATATTTAGTCTTTAATCTCATTTTCATATTCAAATTTAAAAAATAATATATTACCACAAATCTTTAAAACTCAATAGAATTAAATAGTTATTACCATCACTATAAAACTAGTGATGTAATTTCAACAGATATAAAGTTCCAGAAAATTGACATGGTAGCACTGATGCTAAATAAGTCTTCAACAGGTAAACAAAATGAGGGAAGGATTGAATGTATGCTAGCTGAACGCAGATCATTCTTGACATCTTTCAAGGAATGGCAGCTAAGAGGCTCGCTTGAATTAACAGCTTATATCAATTTATTAGAAATACTTACGCACGATGACATTTGAGAGCAGATACACTTCCACAGGTTTTTCCACATTCCTCACAATGTACTCTATGCAGCTTCATATGAGAAACACTAATGTGTTTTTTTAAGTAAAGCTCGGCTCTAAACACCTGAAACAAATAATGTATTAATATTCCGAATACTGCCATTTTCATCAATGCAATGATTATCATATTCCAGCAGAAGATATTCAATTGAATGACTTGCAAGCATGAAAAGGGGCTTGTGTACTGCGGCTCCACCAACCACTTATGCTTACAACTATACATGTGGCGACCATTTTTAGGGCATTTGTGATGTCAGCGTTGCTACGTCTCAGACTCTTACGGCAAGTTATGGGATTTCAGTTTCCGCCTTTCAGGAATTCTAAGAATACGAAATTTTAGGAATAATTGCGAGAAAGGTTGAGGGGCGATGTTCCCTTGTAATGTCGATGATATGTTTAAGAATTAACCATTTTCGTTAAATGGAAAATAAACTATGTTTTTATTTAGTGTTACGCAGTTGCTGTGATATTGCTTGGAATTTTCAATGTTTTCGGCGATTAGTTATTTGCGGTTATTGAGTTTTAGCATATCTGCCAATGCTTGTTCTTTGTTTTGTCTCAAAATATTCAAGCGAGAGATCCTGGAAATTTTAACATTCTCAAATACCACTTTCTTCATTTTTTTGTAACACAAAGGTTGAATGCGGTCTTGTGGTAAAAATAGGACAACCATATAAAAACTGTAACTTTGATATGATGCTCAATAATGGTATAGCATGTATATTTCTGTGAGGTTTAGAAATATACCCCAAGATGGCATGATTTATTGAGCTTATGTCTAGGAACAATGGTTATATGTATACCCATCTGTTTGCACCGATATTTTTTTGGAAAATAACTGTTCTTTGTGCATGCTTAATACGTATAATTTACAACTACCTAATCCACAGCTCACTAGAGAAATCAATGATTTCACATACCTTAGGACACAATGTGCACCGATATTTCTTTTCGCCATGTACGACAGAAACGTGCACCCTCAAACTACCAGCACGTTTCAGAATCATCCCGCAAATGTGGCATATGTAAGTCATGTCCTTATGGGTTTTTTTATGACCATAGTAGGTGGCGTGCTGGGTAAATGTTTTGCCACACTGTTCACACATATACGAGGTTTTTCGACTTCTGAAAGAAAATAATGAGGATTTTTTCAAATACTATTCGAATAGCAAGCTCAAGCATTCACAGTCCTACGGGACGCAAGTCGCTAGACGACCTTTTGCTGCTGGTAAAATCGTAACTGCCGACCAGATGGCCGAAGCAGTCCGTCAGTGGACAGTGAGCGCGGAATTAAGAAGTAATAATAGTCCAGTCAACATAGTTATAAATTAGTTGCAGGCGGGGTTATAAATTAAGGGTAAACGTAATAAATTAAACTTTGAACAGTAAAAACAGTGTTTTGCCAGCCTAGCAACAGTAGGTTTGGCTACTATATTTGATGTGAATGTTTGTATTTAGATACATGAGCAGAGTCAGGTTGCGGTCGACAGTTGCTCCAGGTGAGAATGGTACCTAAAGCCCCGGCTGTTAGGGTCCAACTGTCCGACACTCATAATGTTTATTTTTAAAAACATGAATTTGACGAAAGGTGTCGATTTTTCCTACACTATAAGGAATTTCGTTTCTAAGGTTTTGGTCGTTTCTAATGTTGTAGTGGGCATATCATATGAATAACGTCGAAGAAAACAATAGAAAAATGACCTCATTTGACATCTAATAGCAAAGATGACTGAACTTATTATGTGATATGAAAGTAATATTTGAACTAAGTATTATGCTCTGGGGAGTTCCTGACAGAAATGCAGCCAGCATAGTTTATTCTACCTACTTCATCACCATGTTCTTCTTTCGTTCCTCTTGCTGTTTCTTAAACCTCTGTCTCCCTAATTCACGTTTTCTCTTCCTCAACTGATTTCTTCGCTCCATTGCTTGCTTCTCTTCTTCATGGCGTACAGTATGTTTTTCTAAATACTCCTGGCTTATAAAAATCTGTGAAAGATGGCAAAACAATCACATAAGATGTGAATACTAAGCAACAATGTCATTTAATTGTGGTAAGCAGTCAAAAACAAATCACTGCACACCCAAAACTTTTACTTATGTGTATGTTTTACTCAAAGTGATCTAGTAAATCGTAACATATAATTTTCTTTTCTTTTCAGTTTCTTCAAAATTTTAGATTTTTGATTTAATCAGATTTTGCAAACATCCCAATATTTTTATATTACCTTTTCACAGAATTCACACTTAACTCCATCTCCATAGTCTCCAACCAACAAAATCCTTTTATTTTCAAAACTAGGTTCTGTATTCAACGAACATCCAAAAACGTTTACATCAATTGTAGCCAGAGAAGCAATGAATAGCTCTGGGCCATTTTTAGGCAGATTCACAGACAAAATCCTATTGTGGGCACCTACGATACTACTGGGTGGTGCATCTAACTTGTTTATAGCTGAAACAATAATTTACAATTAATAATGTCGACACAACCATCTGTGATAAGGAACACATTCACAGTCATAGGCACTGCCAACTACTCATCTTACAACTATATACTTATTGACCAAAAGCATATATAGTGCATCTTCTTAGAGATGGTTTTAATTAATGATATGATCCTTAATGAATATAAAAGTAATATGATAAAACTATCACTTCAATTTTTGTAAACAAAAATACACAATGAAAATTATTTCTTTATCAATCAAAATAATGCGATTCTCACCTAAATATTCGCCTTTGCTATAATCATGGTCACTTAGTTCATCACTCTCTTCAGCAAACAGTTTTTCAAGTTGTTTTTCCACTGCTAGAATGTTGTTAACAGTCGTGCTAACATTCTTCTGAGCTGCATTGGTCTTTCTGAGTGATTTATCATTAACATTTCCAATACTTTCATCTTGATATGTTTTATCAAATATTTCATTGTATTTAACATTATCTAGAGAATCAATATCTGCGACAGTTTTATGTTGATCTTTTTTGAATCCACCATCCACTTGCTTCTTGAATGAATCTAAAATTATAAATAAAACAATGGTTTCAAATATATCTTTATATTGGTATATTTTTCATAAATCTCAATTAATTATGTAATGTATTAATTCTTTAAGGGTTTCACTGGACGTTCTTAAAAAGTTCTCGGAATTAGAACGCAATTCTCCTCGCAATCCAATATCACCTTTACGCAAATCAAACAATAATTTTTCAATACCACGATCATCTCTTTCACATAAGGATGGTTTCACCCAAAAGCGTTTTTTACTTTCCTGGTCACAACGCTGGAGAAACATATAACTAGGAGATATTATAATGAAATCTTTGCACTTCTGCCTTTCAGCATAAAAACGCCACATATTTTTACTCTGAAAAATTTTGGTGTGAACTGCACGAAACAAAACAACTGAAAACTTTTTTGTCTCTTGTCAAAGTGGACATGTTTTAATTTTTTTTAAAAACGTTTCCAAAAAGTTGCTCATTTGTTGTGTTTCTGTTTTGTTCCTTGTTTTTGTTGCATCGATGTGGACCCTGCATAAGAAGAAAAGCTCATAAAAAAATATGATTCGTAATGCTTTATTTTTAAGATACATCATATTAAAGTTATTTTCAAATTTTAAAGTTTTAGCTGACTTTGCTGATACTCAGCGGGCACAAAAGAACTACCACAAATTTATATAAAACCATTAATAAAAAACGCTTTTTTATAACGCCATCTATATATCAGGATTTAAATCTTTTTCATTTGAAGCTTTCAGGGTTTGTTGTTTGTTTTCCTATTTGAGTTAATTACATTTTCTGTGATACATATGTATCTAGTAAATTTTTAGCATTTAACAAAACTTAGTCAGCATTCAATTTTTACCAGTGGCACTATTATACCTCCCCATCTTCCTCACACATGCACATCTATGCTTTACTCAACAATTTATTCACGAATTTATTTGAATGATTATGTTTTGGGGTGTTAACATCACTGGATAAAATCTGTCAGTGCTAGAAACAATTCAAGTTTAATATGTATTGTGGTTTTGAGTTTGAAGCGAATCTCATAAACAGAAACCAAATTGTTGAATTTTGTAGTTATGTATAGTTAAGTATAATTTCATGAAGATATCCTCAAGGAACTTCAAGGATTTATTTGACGTCAAATTCCCTTTTGAAATTTGGTCATGAACAAAATTCCTGAAGAAATCTGTTGTTTCTATAAAAAGGGTATTAGTTTTTCCTTACTGCCTCAAAAGTTTTTTTTACCTATGAGTGTTCTAAAACAATGCTTGTCACTGTCACCATGACAACATTCAACTAAAATGAATCTATGCTTATCAATTTTTTGACCGTACTTCACTATGTTCTGTGTTGTGAAGTCTCTTGAGTTCAACTGCTGACGAGTATGTGACATAAACTACTACTAAATTAATGTAACTTACAGGGATGGTCAAACAGAAATAATAAATATGGGTCTTATTCTAAGGGCCATACATAAGTCATTCCTACAATTTATTGTCCTGCCTTCATGGCCTCTTCTTTGATTTTCATAGTTTTCTACTGGTCCGTGTCAGCACTCTATTTTGAGGTTATGTCACAATTATCTATTTGCATCAAATTGTTCATGCTTTTGATTTATATCATGTTTTATCAGCCTGAAATTTCCTACAATTCAAAAAGAACACATAACTTCACAATAGAAGAGCACTGAAGAAGAGAAGAGACTATGACAATGAAAGAGGCCATAAAGGCATCCTACAATCATAGGAATGACTGATGATGTAAATGATATAACAACAAATTCATTCCTGTAAGCTGTAAGTCATATTAAGTTACATTTAAACCAACAAAAAATGAAAATTGTTAGTGGGGCAGTTTATGCTCTCCACTATATTTTTGTGTTACATCTGTATTGTTGGCAATAATGAATCTGGTGAAATTCAGAACCACATACAGACATATTTACACCAAACACTGATCAAGATTTGCATACATGTTTTCATTTGCTGGTACATTTGAGACTAAAATATATGAAGCACAAATATAAAAATGCAATAATCACATTGTCAAAGAGTATGTATCAGTACAAAAGACCACAATAAAATATGGACACAGAATACCCCTCTAAATACGTCCCTGTTTGCATATCTGTCAGAGTTGTGTTTCACTTGATGTGGGGTATTTTAAATATCACTAAATAATCAGCTGTTATTGGTTGGGACATTTCGCCATGTTAATGTGTGGTGAAACTCAGTATAATGCAAATAGTGGACAATATTGGCAGTTTAAGTTAAATTTACTACAGATCCTAGTTCCAGAAAGCAGTTGATAACAATGATATTCTACAAACCACTTCATAAGTGCAAGAATGAGTAGCAGCTGTGTAAAAGACTCTGTTTGCTCTGCCAATGGTACAATTAGCTGACCTATTTATTTATTTCATATGAAATTGATACCTATTTGTTTATCTGAACTCAATACTTTAAGCTTGGCCAAGACTAATATGATAAGTGATACCTCTTTGAAAGGGTCAGATGATATATTGACAGCTTTTATAAGTACCAGGGAAAAATATGTTACCCATAGAGTGACATTTAAACAATGAAAAAGATTGTCTGAATGAGATATAGTATAAAGACGATTAGCTAAATAAATGCAACAATTCTTTACTAAAAACAACAAGTCTTCACTCCCATTGTTCTTGAAACAAGAGAATTGTATAGATAGAGAGCTCACAGACCTTCAGGATTATGGTTGGAAAGGGGGTGCAGCCATTGATTTTATTGTTTATATTTTTTATTGTAAAAAAGTATAACATAGAAAAAGAGTCAAAAAAACAAATGACATGAAAACTGCCAGAAAAGTGACATAATTAGTGAAAAAACTGCATGACCTTGAAAAAAATAAGATAGATTAGTTATTATATGTAATCATGACTTACATTCAAGAATTGTTTTTTACCAACTGGAATAATGTACAATTGAAATTCACAAAGATATAGTTACCTAGGTAGATACAGTAACTACTAGCAAACAAAACTACATGAGCAATGGATGCATTCCTGGTGTCAGTGGGTCAAACTGCACTAGTTTCAAACTAACATTAGTTGATTTTCTACGCATTGATCAAGTCAAATGGTAAAATTGTCACATTTAAATGAAAATATACAATTTGAATTGTGCAAGGTGAGGATGCCATAATTTTCAAAAACCACTAAAAACATGTTTCTTCAAGTGATTATACAAAATTTTAATGTCCCTTTTCATGGGAATATGTTATGTGTATACATTGTTATACCATTTACATAAACAAATTTGTTGATATTTGTAGTTAAAGTCAGAATGGGGAGTATACATTTTGTTAATTTTCGCGCATATTGTGCCTAAATCTGAATGTTTACCTAAATTTCTGCATATGTTCCAAAGAGAACATGGATTTTACATTATTTGGATGGTTATTTATGTAAGTTTTTGGCAGAACATTGAAATCCCAAAAACCATAAATGTTTATTCACCATTAAATATGTGGAAATTTACAATGATTCTGAAAAACTGATCTTTAGATCCAAAATATATAACATATCAATGGTAATGCTAATTTATGTCTGAAAGAAGAGAACCTACCCGTTTGCTTCATGACCTTTGAGGCTGACAGTAAGATTTCATCAGACTGAAAACATTTCTCAATAAACTTTAAACACTGGTGCAATAGTCTTCTGCATAGGATACACACAACATCAGTATCTTGTAGCCGTCCCTTCTACAATGATGTTTCCATTGATGTAAATTAGAAGGTAAATGCAATACGAAAAGTCTTACCAGCTCAGGTACAAGTGTAAGTACCATTTCACGAATGGTTCTGTCGTATGCACCAATTTTGTCGTTCATATGATACATCTTAGTGCTATGCTCAGCACAGGTTCTACATTTTTCTTCCATGTTTATAAAATAAACCAAACACCTAGCACTAACAAACTACAGCACAAATGTTTCGTTCATACTCCAGCATCAAACTTTTTCAAAATTCTTTTGAACGGTGTTTTGTTTTGAAGTAATAGTTAGGTTAGCAGAAAATTGGACACTTCGGTCAGTGAACAAGGCGCAAACAGATTGAACTTTCACAATTCACCAGCAAACCACTTCCTGTGTCTGTGTTCGAACCTCCCAGTTCTCTCATCAATTTTACAGAAAGAACTGCACTGTTACCCAAATTGATTCCGTTTCCTATGATTAAACTCGATGTTTAAGACAAATTATCGAAAAAAAATTGCAGACTTACGATACTCTGAATCAAAAACAAGCGGATATTTTCCAATATTGCAAAAAAAATTCTTCCCGCACAAAACTAATCAAAATGGACGATTCAAGACACATTCACATTCACGTATAGTATGGTGAGGAGTGGGGAATCAACAACGGTTACGTGACGCCACGTGACGGTGTGCATCTACAATTCTATGCTCTATGCTCAGTTTTACGATGTTGCTAGATTGTCAGGCAATTACCGGAAAAGCGGGAAAGTATCGGTGTAAAGGTGCGTATACATATGCGAGCCGAGCGGTTCGCGAGCCGCTTGTGAGCCGCTCGATGGTGGTTCGTTGAAATGATTTTTTCCGCGAACCTCCAGCGATCCACAGATTCAGCGCACCAAACGCAGACAAACATCGCAGTCGACAAATGCAGTATGGCTTCGCGAAACGAAAATTATACTATTTTAGTGATGAGTGCTGCAGTTTTAGTAATGGTTGATGTAAATAAAAAAAAGAGAAGACAACGACGTTGGTGGCGTACTAATTTATTCAAGAAACGCAGTGGTACGGGAATTTTAATGGACCTAAAGTCGCAAGAAATAAGCGGACAGTATAAAAATTTCACTCGAATGACACCTACTGACTTTGAGAATCTGCTGCAAAGGATTGGACCCCATATTTCAAAACAGGAGACTTATTTTCGTACTCCAATCTCTGCCCAAGATAGGTAAGTCGGTGTACCGTGGACAGGTAGCTTTGTTTTTTAACAATTTTTTTAAATTAATATTCTAGGTTAGCCGTAACACTTCGGTTTCTTGCCACGGGAGATTCATATACTAGCCTTCAGTATCTATTCAGAATTTCCAAGCAGTCGATTGGGCGTGTAGTACCCCAAGTTTGTGCTGCACTAATTAAGGAATTGCAGGGATATATCAAGGTAACAACATTAATATATAAATTAAAGGCCTGTGTGTAATTCAAAAATATATTTTTCTTCACTTTAAAGTAATTTCCACCACTAAGTTAACAAACAAAAAATAGAACTCAAAAACGTTACACAAAATCTTCATAATTTTCTGATGTGAGTGACGAAACAGGTAATTGTAGCGATGATGGGTTGGACAATGATGGTTCAGAAGTTGCAGGAACGGTTATTACGTAGTCGTGCCATAAGTTCTGTCCCATGATAATCTCATGATAAAAATGAAACAAGATAAGATATATTTATATGAAAGATATTATTTATTCGACAACATTTTTAGAATTCATAATCAAACAGTTTTATTCAAAATGTCCCCCCTTGGCCTTCACACACTGCTTCAATCTCGCGGGCCACTCATCTAACACTGCACGCACAGCTTCCAAAGGAATAGCTGCCGCTGATCGGATCAAATCCGCTTTCAGGGACTCGATATTACGGTGGGCTTTGGAGCAGGCCAACTGCTCTAGCAGGTCCCACAACTTGTAGTCTAAAGGATTGAGGTCCGGACTCCCTGAGGGCCAATCTTCCGCAGCAATGAACTCTGGCACATTGCTTTCCAGCCAGCGCTGCGTACTCTTAGCCTTGTGAGCGGGGGCGGAATCCTGCTGGTAGACCCAGTGTTGGTTGGCAAACAATGTACCACTTAAAGGCTTGACGATAGGATCCAGTATGTCGCTCTGATAGTTTGCCGCTTTTGTTTTCACGCCCTGTTTACAGAAATGGAGCTGAGTGACCCCTTCGTAGGACACCCCCCACCAAACCATGACTGACGCAGGGTGGTGGCCTCTCTCAACTCTCGGAATGATCTCCGAAGCTTCCTGTGAACTCCTTGCATACACTTTGTCATTTTGTCGGTTGAATTTTTCTTCTATGGTGAAGATTTTCTCATCCGTGAACAAAATCTTTCGGAATCCCCCAGCTGCGTACCTCTCCAAGAGCTTCTTGGATCTTGTCGCCCTGATGTGTCGCAAGGTGGCCGTAAGTCGCTGGCCCGTACGTCTCCAGTAAGCCCCTAGCCCTAGGTCTTGTTTAATGATGCGCGACATCGTCCGGACAGGAATCTTCATTTCCCTTTATAGGATCTTCTGCTTCCGGAGTGGATTCCTTTGAATCCTGGCTTTTACGGCTTTGATGGCTGCTGGAGTCCTTACTTGACGAGGTCTTCCGCTTCTTGGCCTGTCATCAACAGAGGACGTCTCATTGTACCGCTGAATGGTCCTAGACACAAATTTACGCGATATTTGAAGGCCGCGTAAGAGTTCAAAAATCTGACTAGCACTGTGATTACACTTATGTAAAGCTATCACTGCAATACGGTTCTCTGCCTTGCCCCACTCCATCGTTATGCTTCGAGAGATCAATACAAACTGAGGTATATGTAATTACCCGAAAAGCGCTTAATCAACTGACACCACAATGTAAACAATCGGACAAGTATTAACAGGTCTACACTTGTTTGAAAACGAGGGACAGAACTTATGGCATGACTACGTACTTGCAGAGGTTGTGAATAATAAGTTTCAGAAGATTGAGAATATATATTATGTGAAGTAGGTTGGGAATACATCGAAGAAGTAGGTTGTTGATGATTGGTAGCTTGTGGCTGTATGTAGGAAGTAGGTTGAGAATCATTGTAAGATTGAATTGAAGTCGGATTAAGAAATCCTCTATCAGCTTTAATAATAAGGTCAAAAACAGCATGTTGAATTGTCTGTTGTATTGGAGGGGGGTATTTTTGAACCTTTGCAGCAACAAAATTAAAAAATAAATCTATTTCACTGGGTTGAGTTGGCTCTTTGTCCATTTTTTTCGCAGTATTCTTCAAAATCTGAAATGCATCACTCATTATTGGAGAGGAAACATTATCTTGTTTTGTTTTTGATCGCTTTGTAGATTTGGAGGTAGATGGTAGCGTAGGTGTCTCTGGTATCGCCTCTTGTTCCATTTGTTCGGAAGATAGGGCAGCTTCGTTAACATCATCCAGCTCCTATTAAATACATTTTCAGTAACTTTATATGTAGTTTATAAATAATGAAATTTTGAAATGAAATTGTGTTAACATAGTATTAGCGATTCCTTTTTTTATTATTTGAGAAGGGTGGTTTTATCTTATTCCAAAATACACCAAAGAAGTTGCACAAAAAATGATATTAAATAAATAAATTATTAAGATAAGCTAATAATGAATAAAACGGGTCAAAATTAATAATTGTTATTTCATTTCAGCTACCTAAGACTCCCACAGCTTGGAAACAAGTTAGCAAGATATTTGAAACTCGTTGGAACCTTCCTCATTGTGTTGGTGCCCTAGATGTAAAACACGTTGTTTTACAAGCACCAGTGAAATCGGGTACCGAATTCTTCAATTATAAATCCAATTTTAGTATTGTGCTTTTCGCACTGGTTGATGGTGATTATAACTTTATGTTTGCTGACGTAGGCTGCCAAGGAAGAATTTCTGATGGGGGGTTTTTAAGGCAAGCAAATTATATCAGCAGCTTACAGAAAACAGACTAGGACTTCCAACACCAGAAGAACTAAAAGGATGTTCTATCAAATACCGTATTTTTTGCCGGCGATAGCGCATTTGCTTTAAGCGAAAATCTCATGAAGCCCTATACTGGGAACTTTCCCAAAGGAACTCCTCAACGAATTTTCAATTATCGTTTGAGTAGGGGTCGTCGCATAGTTGAAAACGCTTCGGTATATCAAGTGCAGTGTTTAGGGTGTTAAGAAAACCAATGCTCTTAGAGCCTGCAAAAGGAGAGTGGGTTATAGTGACAGTCATTCTTTTGCATAATTATCTCAGAAAAAACTCACCAAATATTTATACCCCTTTTGGCACGTTAGACTATGAAGTTAATGGAAATTTAACTGAGGGATCATGGAGAAATGAAGGAGATATGACGTCTATGGTACCTATACGAAATATTCCTCGAAGACCCACAAACTATTGTACAAAAGTTAGAGATGAAATCGCTAATTATTTTATAAATAATGGAGCTCTAGAATGGCAGGACCAATATGCTTGAATTTATAACAATAATTACTTACCGTAGCAAGTCTTTTTCGTGGCAAATCTCTGTCTTCTAAAAACCTAAACGCTTCATAGGCAAACCATCTGCTGCAATAAACTTCATCTCTTCCTGAAAATTAAAATCGTGATTAAAATTATATACAAGTGAACTAACTTAATTAAAAACATATTATTTAGTTGAATTAAAAATTAAATTAGTATTAGCAAAAATATTTTGTATTATTATTTAAATAAAACACAACTAATTTATCTTATTATTTCATTTATTTACCTTTTCCTGTACTAGTCCCCTGCTTTGTTTTATTTTTCTCCCGGCGGAAAGAAGCTAAGAGGCTTATTATTTTCTTTTTGCACTGTTCAGCAGTGGTTTCCATTTCATCCGCAATTTCCCGCCAAGCGTCCTCTTTCAAATTTTTTTTGAAGCGATTTTCATTTTTAGGATCCCATAATAACGTTTTGATTTTATAACCGTTTATCAGACATAATATTTTTTCTTCCGACCATGAATCCATAACTTTATTGAAAAAAAAATAAAGTTCGCTCGCGAGCTAAAGAAAAACAACGAACCTTGTCTGAACACGTCCCAATATGCACTGCGAATTCCTTTGTGTTCGTCGAAAAAACCGACAGGCCGCGGCTCGTCGCGAGCGGCTCACGAGCTGCTCACAAGCAGTTCGTTTGGAACCATAAACCCCGTCCCAATTAGCCGAACAAGTTGCTCACAAGCGGCTCGCATATGTATACGCACCTTTACATTCCTATATTCTATTGCTGGGGCCACACTGTCGCGATAACGCGAAGATTTGCGTTGTTGAGACATGTCTGGCCAAAGAATTCGTCCTATCGCGAATCATCTTCGCGAATACGAGGGTTTTGTCGCCACAAAGTTTGTGCGGTTGGCCACACTTCGCAGGCTTTAGTTGACTGTGAGACGACAAGCGGTTTGATCTTGTTTGATTGAACTTGTTAATCGTGGATTGGAGTAATGAGAGGATATTAGAATTCATACAAAATTATGGATCTGAACCAGTTTAATGGAACCCGCAAGAGCCAAACCAAAAAAACATTTGAATTACGACGCATGGGTGAGAATTGAAGCTAATTTAAGCTGGCCTGTTTTGGTTGAGGAACTAAAAGCAAAAATGAAATCCCCAATGGCTTATTATAGAACGCATCTAAATAAATATAAAAAATCGTTGAAGTCTGGAGCAGGCAAGGATGATATTTACTAAATTTTTGTGTATAGATAACATCCACCATCCCGTTTTATTTCTCTTTTTGACTTTTTTATTTTTGTTCAAGTAATAAAGATGCAGCAAATAATTATTAGCTGCCATGTGATACGAAATGGATTATCGCAACGTAGTGAAGTTTTTTTGATCTGACCAAGCACATCATCATGGATCGAACACGAACTTTTATCGTGACAACGCGAACACGAATCTTCGCCTTCAAGTGTGGCCGCAGCATATTAGGATAGGAATAGTTGGCTAAATTTATAACTCATTGTATTCACGTTTTTTCTTTTAGTTTAGTTGTTAAGACAATGATTTATTGACTGGAGTTTTAGGCCCGTATCGTCAGTCGTCCCTACAATTGTAAGTCGCATTTATGGCCTCCTTGATTGTCATAGTTTTCTACTTCTCCGTGTCAGCGCTCTATTTTGAGGTTATCTCACAAACATCTATTTGCATCAAATTGTGCTTGCTTTTGAGTTATATCATGTTTTATCAGCCTGAAATTTCCTACAATTTAAAAAGAAAACATATCTTCACAATAGGAGAGCGCTGACGCTGACACGGGACAAGTGTATTCTAGAAATTTTTGAAGGAGAGAAAGAGGTATGACAATCAAGGAGGTCATAAACGCGCCCTACAATTGTAGGGACGACTGACGATACGGGCCTTAGCATCCCAGACAGTCGTGGTGACATATCACACCAAGCTGCAGAGCAAATTGTATCTGACAATACATAGGAAACTGACACAATATTTCATGCCCTGCCGGAACATGAGGCCAAATTTTTGTTTGTACGTTTCGCGCCGAATAGTGCCTGAGTATGTAAGTTCGCTAAAATCTAGGTTTTGATGGATTTGGTTCATCTGCTGAGATATAAGAGCATAGGAGGGCCCGAGTAAATATAACATGGCCACGCAAGACCACTATTGAAATATACTCTATTAGACTCTAGAAGACCATCTGTAGCTAAGTTGTTTTCGAATTAGAAAAATGCAAATGAAGATTGGAAAAAGGGACGTGGCTGTACTAATCGGTCGTACCGTATCGTCGCAGCGAGGTACAGCACGCACACGGTTCTATCTCTCGGCAACCGTCGGCGCAGCGGAATACCTAAGCGCGCTCACTGCTCCATGCAGAGCTCTATTCGGTTTCGTCACTTTTTTCAGTAGTGGTGTTCACTATAGGGTTCTCGATTGTGACTCAGTGGTGCTTTAGTGTTGTAACGTGGGTGTCAAGTATCACCAAAGTGGAAATTAGGTCTATTTCCAACTCTTCTGAGGGAAACAGGATATCTGTGCAACAAACTAGGTGAGCCTTGCATACGCATCTACTTATGTGTTAGGGTTGACATCCTAGGTTTTTTTAAATAAATTGCACAAATTGCATGCACTGAGAGAATAGTCATATACGGAGGTATTTCTCAATCGCCAGATCAATATTAGTCAATCAATTCATTTTCACTACATAAGCTAACTAGCACAATATTATAAAATTTAGCTTAGCGTCGTTTTCTGGTGTCATAGGAGACCATAATTACTTGTTATCAAAGGTATTGTAATTTTTGGTGACAACAGCTGTCAAGTTTTGCCGCGGGGAAACTGGAAAAAAATGCTGACAGGTTCTGTCATACAATTTTTTCATCTAGAAACCATTTTTAATTCAAAATTGCGCGTTTGTGGAAGAAATAAAGACGCGGGAAATAGTCGTCTTGAAAACCACAAGATAAGTTTCAGATGCTACATTAACACAAACACGACTTGTCTTGTGTTTGAATGTTTATGGTGGCTATGTTGAAAAATGAAAAAATGTTCTTATTTTAGTTTGTATTACAATTTACATTCATATATAAACATCTTATCCATTCCGTCCTGTGATCGATAATCGATCTCTTCTGTGGTCTATCCTCCAACGTCACTTGTTTTTTGTTGATATTTGACGTCTAAGTATTGCTGGAAAATGGTATTTTGGAAAAACAAATTTCTATATAGTGCTCCATCCAAAATTTTTCTGCAGAATTACATATCAGACTGTCGTGTATACGTTAAACCTGCAATAATCAATAAATACGTGGTTATGTTAAGTGTACCATCACCCATAAGGGCATATTAAACTCACATTTACCTTCAAAACAATCACCAGCACGTGGCGTCCAAATTCGCGTTCTCAGATTGGCCAGTGGCAGGGGTATTACACGTACCTTGAAAAGTGACATTACGTCGTTTTTTTACATTATGTAGGTTTTTATGGAATTATCGATGTTTTCATACAATACGAGCCGTTTTACACACAAGAGAATTACTCCGAAAATTATGGCCGAAAATTTGCATGGAAAAATATGAAGATTTTCTCTACAACCTGTATGACACAAGCAAACAAAATTTCCGAGTAATTCATATGATACGCCTGCGCATTAGAGTAATATTTTCGAATGGACATAACCTTAACGGGTATGACGTCCAATATAATCGGAAAGACAAAAGACGTCGTTGATTTAAATTTATTTTTGAAATCGAGATCTTGGTTAATATTATAAAACTTCGCAATGCTTGGACTATCGCATCCAGCGCCTGACGCCGCAAATTTCTGTTTTTGTAATTGGGTGACTTTACCTTGAACAGGTTTGCCCATTTTTGGTACTCCTACAACAACAGTGTAACTTCTTCCTGATTCCACGACATTATGAATAAACAATAACAATAAACGCTTCTTCGTAGTAGGACCATACCCACAAATGTTAAGTGGGGTTATGTTGTTATGTTGACGTTGACATTTGATAATGACATGCACGGAAATAATCCTCTGCGCCGATTCTCGCGCATATTCTATAGAACGGGTTTTATATTTTTACCATGAAAATTTTCACAAGAATTCTTTTAGGTGTAATACGACAGCAAAAATTTTCGGCATAATTATAACCATAATTTTCGGAGTAATTCTCTTGTGTGTAAAACGGCTCTAAGTCAACTTGAAACTAGCTGTCGTTCACTTCATGCGTACACCCACTAGCCTATAGTAAACTCATCAACAGGTCGACATTTTATCGTTTTTTACATTATATAGGTTTTTCACGTGAAAACCTTGGCGGCCAGGAGTGGCTGGGTAGGACACAAGAACGGATTTAGAGAGGGCGCCCCTAGTCGCCAAAGTTTGCCATTTTTCTGTATCTTGATGTAAACATTACATTGCCAAACCTGAATCGTGCGACGTGCACTCCCTTAGACATATCCCACGCCCGTTCAATTGCTACAAGGATATTTGCTCTGAGATCGCTGCTTGAGTGCTTATGCATGAACCTCCCGCTCTTTAATTTTTAATCGCTGCTACCCTCGAGATCATCTTCATAAACATTAATTCTGTGACCTCCGTTAAGCGCCCTTAGATGCATAAATCCGCCTCTGGTAGAGCAACGCCAACCGAATATATGCGACAATCTGAGTGCTCATGTTTATTTTGACGCAGTTTTAATGGTGATGAAACATATATTAAGAATATACAGGGTGACAGGTAAATAGGTGTAAAACATTTTAGGAGGTGATAGTACAGCTCCTTTGCTATCAAAATTAGTATATAATACCATACCCTATATTCAAAGGTTAAAAAGTTATGGAAGATTTAATTTTTTTTTAAAAACAACCCAGATTACAGAGTAAAATAGTTGAGATAAAAAAAAAGTTGATGATTAAACATTCTTTTTATGGTGCTTTCAGGTTATTATTTAAATAAATAATTCTCATAAATTAAAAAACATATGAAAACACTACTGAAAACGTATTTATTTTCATTTAAATGTTAGATGAACATTTTTATTTTCAACTTTCACATTAAGAAGTCTTTTTTTTCAAAAAAACATAATACAGAAAATGTACAAATAACTGCAAAAACGTCCTCGTTTCATTAGGTTTCTAAAATGGTATAACAACATATCAGTAAGTAAACCATTTAACAAAACAATATTACTTTGCTAGAAAGGACCGCTAAGCGCATTTCATTGTACTGAGCAGGTAAACCGAGCCTTTCATGGTTCGACCCTTTTTGTTATTTTTTGTGCCCTGTGCCGTTATTCGGGTTTAAGTATTGGGAATCTGTCGTCGCTCCTCGGAAGCAAGCTCTGTGTGTGTTATGAATTGACACAGCTGACAGATCAAGGAAAGGGAACTATCCGAACTAATGCTTAGGTTAGTTAGTAGAATATCAACCTTTAACGCGGTAGGACGTACTTTTACTTTTTTGATCAGTTTTAATAATGGCGAGTTACCGTAACAAAGAATACGCTGATATTCTGTTTTGTTATGGTTTAAGTGATGGAAATTCCGTTGAAGCCAGGCGAGAATACGAAAACCGTTTTCCGCATCGGCGAATACCGAGTCATCGAGTATTTGCTTCTGTGTACCAACGCGTCAAGGAAAGTGGACAGGTTCATGAGAGACGTCATGATGCTGGTAGACC